CAGTTCCCGAGTTTGCCTCGCGCAAACAGCGCGCGGGTCGATTAATTGGCGGGCGGGCTTCGGCCGCGCGCGTCGCGGTGGCTCCGGTTGGTGCGTTTAACCTGGGGGCGAGCCGAGGAGACGCGAAGCCGTATGCGCGCGCTCGGCCTGGCTTCCCGAAGTGACGCCAATGTCAAGGTGCGCCAATTATGCAAGCGCGCGCGCGCGCGCGCGAAACCAATCTAAAAATAAATAACATAACGAACGCCAAACGGCGTCGGCGGTCGGCGCAGCCGCGTCAGCAATTACGGCCAAGTGGATATCGGCCGCCTTTTCCGCGCAGTCCGTCGATCTCGCGACCTACTTCTCTCTTTCTGCCGTCGTTGCGCGCGCGAAGACGCAATTTTCTCGAACCGAAGGCTCACCGGCAGCCCCCGCGCCTTCGGGACTGTCGGCGTCCACCGCTGCTCGGCCGCGACGATTATGCAAAGCGCTGGCTCTCGTCGCCTCCTCTCGGTGCGCTGGGCGTACTGACGTCAGCCCTCGACGCCCTCTCCCTCTCGCCGAGCGTCGTCTCCAGCGTCGCACGCATCCGCCCGCTCGCCGTGGATCGAGGGGCAGAGGTGCGCCCGCCCAGCCAGGCGATAAACGCATTTATTAAGCGCGCCCGAGCGAAAAGCCGATACACACGAGGGAGGCTTTGAGGGCTTTGTGCACACCTTTGTGTCGCGCTTTCCGCGCTTGTCGAAGCGCGCGCTCTTTCTCCCTGGGTCGCGTCTGCTTTGCTCCCGTTACGTCGAGAGGAAGCGAGAGGGAGTTGAGTTTCGGCACGACGCGCCGTCGAGCACTCGACAGGAGCGTTGCAGAGCAAGCCGTCTTCTTGCCTCCGCGCGCTGGCAGACATATTGCGGTCATTAAAAGCTCACCGCGGACTTCTTGGCCGCGGCGCGGAGCGTCTCGTTACTCTCGCGCGACGGCCGTTTAATTACGCGGCCGGGATTATTAACGAGGCGCCGTTAATCAGCGCGCGCGCGCGCGAGGGGGAATCTCGGCGGAGGAAGCTCGGTTTTCGCGTGGAAATGGAAAAAGAAACATACAATAAAATAGAGAAAAACAGCGACGCGGCGCGAGAACTTGCCGAGGAAGTCCAAGGTCGCGGAGAGCTCTTTTGTTCGGCGTGATGGATACCTTTCGATTGTCCGTAAATGGCGCTAGTAAATAAAATTTGATGCTCGTATTAATCATCGACGTGGCACGAGTGCTATTTGGAAAGCGCGAGGCGGAGGACCGACCTCGAGGCGAATCGATGCCCGATCCCCCGTACTTCCGTCGCCAGTCTCCCACCACGTGCGTTTTCTCGCGCCGCGGGAAAGCAGGAGCAAAGGCCGCACTTCCACGGCAAAGGTGACGCTTCGACCTTCGTCGCGGCGAAGCCGAACTTTCCCAAGCCGAAAGAGATAAGAGGGCGCGCGGTACAAACTGGCTTTACGCCGCCGCCGCGCGGAAAGTGGAACAAAAGGCCGCTAAGCCCTTCCTCCTCCACTACTTCGTTGCAACCTCAAATGCATCTCTCTTCGGCTTTACTGTTACTCTTTCATCAGGGCTCGCGTTTTCCCTCTCTCTTTCTCTCTTTCTTATTATTCTTCCTCCAGGTCGGGCATTTCATGCTCGAAACTGCCAATGAAAAATTAAAAGTGGCTTTTCCTCTCGCGCGGAGCAAGTCCGTTGCCGGCTGCGTCCGCTGCGATAATACTTTATCAACCAAACGAACAATGCCTTTTTCGGATATTCCCGCTTGTATTTTTTTCTTTTCATTTGATTTTTTCGCTCGTTCGCGAGCTTCGCTTTCGCGGAATTCTCGCGTCCTGCGATTGCCTTTTACGACGGTTGTAAAAGAATAGCTCGCAGCGATGAGATCGAAATCGCGCGCGTGTGTGTGTGTGTGTGTGCGCGAGCGTGTATTTCCCCGAAAAGATGTGATTTCAGTTTGGCGCGCGGTTGCAGCCAAATACCAAATCTCGGTTGGAGGACTCCGCCGCTATTCGCGAGAAACTAGCACGGCACGCAACACGTGATGTATACAACACAACGCAATTTCCCTTGCAAGGAAAGCACGATAAAAAGAGAGTTGGTGATAAAATCGAGGGTGGGGGAGGGGAGGTAAATAAAAGAAACGAAGACACACTCGCCACGTCCCATGAGTCCCTGGCACGGCCGATCGATTATCCTCGAGAACAGCACGACCATATCGCTCGGCTCGCGACTGCATCACGCATTGCGCGCGACGACGTCGCTTTCGCGGCCGAAATAATCGGCGGCCCGTAATGAGCTTGCGGCCGCGACACGTTAATGCCGGTCGAAATCAAGGGAATTCTCTGGCGACGCGACGTACGACGGAGCGGCGAGAATGCGATCCGCGGTCGCCACCGCCTGTCCGCAACTGGGTCGCCGAGGCAGCGACTTTTCGGTCGACGCGTATTTCGGTACCGTCGAAGCGACCGACCACAGAGACGACGTTGACGAGCGCCCGAGCAGCGAAAGAAAGCGAAAAGGTAAAGAAATACAATGGAATTATTGAATGGAGCGCTCGATCGAGCAGTGAATAAACAAGCGAGTCGTCGAATCAATCCGTCAGAGCGGCAAGTAGCGAGGTGGCAATGCTGGAAGAGCAATAAAAAATCCATTAGACGAGAGAGAGAGTTGCGCTCGCGATTCCGGGGAAGGAAGAGCTTAGAGGTCGAGTGGCCCCGGGAAATCGATAGGAGCGTGGTGCGCGCGCGCGCGCCGCCGAAAAAGGACCATCGGCTGCGTGCGTGCCCTCTGGATCCTTGCCCTCTCGGACTGGCGCCGCTGCACGGCCAGTCGCGCCACGTCGAGCTTCTCCCGGAGACGATCGCCCCGCTTCGGGCAGCGGGGCAACCAGTTGCGCGCGACGCGAACTCGGCCAGAGGTGCGGGATAGGGGCGCGGCGCGGCGAGGGACACGGCCGTCGATCGATTGCCCCCCATGGCGGCCTTGCGCGCGCGGAATCGTCGTCTTGCGGCGAAGATTATCGAATGCCCGCTCGAGCGTGTCGTTGGCTCCTCTCGGGCGTGAACCAGCCAGAGCTAGCCCTTTTTCAGCCCCTCGCCACCTCCTCTGCACACGGGCGCGAGCCCCTTCTAAATTTAGAGGCAGAGCTCCACTCGAGCGCGAACCGGTCGACTCGACGAAGGTTGTCTATTTCTACAGGGGATGCCGGCGCGCAACAGTGCTTTTTTTTTCACCGGCGCCTCTTGCCGAGGATTATTAGAACGCGACAGATGCGAGGGCTTTTTTAAAGGCGCCACGTCGAGCGTGAAACGCCGTCAGCCGAGGCCGGTGAGATCGGCTCTGTGTCGCCACTGATAGCTCATGCGTGCGCGCGGCTTTTTTCCCCTTCATTATTATTAGACGGTTTGGATGTGTGGCAGGCCCGACGGCGAACTGCCGACGAGCGCGCGGACCTGATTCTCCGGCCCGGTGGAAAGTCGCTGCTGCATCGAGTCCCACTCGAAGGTAAACGTCTTGACAGTGCGATCGGCTGATTCGAGGAGACTGTCGCGTGCAGCGCTTTTATTCGGTTCGTTAGATTTCGCCAATTCTCTCTCCCGAAGAGTGGAGATGTCAGGACGAGATTGCTCGTCGTCCGGATTCACCTCGGACTCGGCGGACTCGGCTGCCGACTGCGAGTCTTGAGCGACGCGAACGCGCTGCTGTGGTCTCCAGACTGCGCTCTTGCTCCCGAACGGCGACGAAAGTATCGATTCGAAAATTCAAATACAGCAGCACGTCCTTCGATTATGAATTACAAACAATTAAGAGTCTTTTGAGCCATCAAACGAGCGACAGTGATTCATTTGATCGTACGTGACGTTTTTTGTGACGAGTTCGTAAGAATAATTTTGTCAGAATGTCGGTTAGTTAGGCTGACTCACCGGAGTTATAAGGCTCCGGCGCGCGCGCGTATCGATCAGCGGAGAGGTGTGCACGCCTGCTGCCTCCAGCTCAAGCGAAAAGGACGAGCTCCGCGACGCGACAAATGCGCCTCGATAACTTTCGTTTTCCTCGAGCCTCGGTCCGTTTCCAATCAAACTCCGCTGCTTTCGGCCCCTCGAGCGTATTCTCGCCGGTAATCGGAAAAACCGGTTCTATCCGTCGCGAGACAACGCCCAACGCGAAAATCACGAGACCACGCGGCGCAGCCTTCGCCGAACGGCTCGATCCGGCAATCGCACGGAATACCCGTGCGCTCCCGCTAATTATAATCGCACCTGTTGGTCGTAAGCGGATTATCGCCCCCCCCCCCCCCTCGCCGATGCTTCAAGATAAGCTCCGTGACAACGCTTGTCGCATTGGCACCGATTATTTCGGGCTCGTCTCGTTACGTGCGCGCCGCGTCGTCGGCAATTATTTTCGGAGAATAACCGTCCGGCGTGCTCGTAAATCACTCGCCGCCGGAGATAAAGCGAGAAGCGCGCGAGCCCACATCGCCGATAATAATTGCCGCTGTCGTCGTTGCCGGCGACGAGCGATCACGTCGGGAGCTTTCGGCCGCTCCGACGGATGCTCGCCACGAGTGTTCCGACGAAGGACTTGCGCCTTCTCCCTTGGCAGTCGCGTTCTTCACCGCGGGACGCCTTTCGGGCATCGTTGTCACGAAGCTAATCGAACGAGGCGGGAGATGATCGGAGTGTCGCTCGCGCGTGTCGTGTCCGCCGCAGTGCGAGAGGCCGATGACATTATTCATTGGCCGGATTGAGTTCGCTTCGAGTCTTTGCCGCGAGAGACGAGGAGCTCTCGCCGGGTCTCCATCCGTCGAAGCTATCCCGACTATTCGACGAACAAGTGGCGAGTGGGCTTTATCTCGTCCTCCCCTCCCCTGCGCCCTTCTCTCGCTGAGATCGACGGGGATAGCGATTTCGATCGGCAAACGTCCAAGGCAATTTTTATCTCCAAGCGAGAATCGGATTGGAGGAATAATGCGAAAGGAATTTCAAGCGTGAGGTGTGATTTTATTGAGAAAGAGAAGTGCTGGCGGACGCCGAGTTTAGGCGAACAGCTGGCTCGCGTCGGCGAACAGGGGCAATCCCAGCCTCTTGGCGTGGCTCTCGAAGCCCTTGAGCGAGCAGCAGTAGGTGTATCCCTTGGCGAGGTTGCCGAATTCGGGATGCTCCTTGGCGCAGGCGGCGACCTCCTCGCAGATGACGTTCCTGTCGTCGGCCGCGGTCAGGTGCGGATTGTTGACGGTGACGAAGACGATGCCCTTGTTGGCGGACGCTTGGTGCACGTACTTGAAGAGGAACTGCGCGGGCTTGAGGCCTCGCGGCAGATTGACATAGGTGGTCTTGTTGCGCGCGTCGCGCAGCCACAGGCTGAGGTAACTGCCGGACCAGATGTCCACGTCGCCGGTCGGTGACTCGGCGGCGAACCGACGCACGGCTTCGCCCACGCGCCTCCAGTTGCCCGTCTCCACGGACTTCCACACCGGCACCGTCGTCTCGTAGTAGCTCGCGGCGCTGCGCTGGCTCTCGTAGTACAGGTCGTCCTGGGAGACCAGCTGACTGGCCACGAACGAGTGCGTACCTGCGGGACGATAATTGCGCCTTCACGTGTCCGTGCCTCGCGGCCGGGTGCCAACGAACTCACCGTCGGCCGGCAGGTACTTGTCGACGAGAGCCGTGTCGTTGAACAGGCTCGCGAAGGAGTTTCTCTGCTTCGCTGCGTCGTAGACCGCGGCGAAGTTCACCTTCGGCGCCAAGGGACTTGGCCTCAGTGCCGCTTTGCCCGCGGCAACCGTCGACTTGACGGGCAGTGCTTTGAAGTGCGCCCACCTGGCAACCAACGCGGTTATCACTCTCGACTTCTCTATCCGTCCGCGAGCCTCGGCTTCGGGGGCCGTGGCGTCGCAAGAACGCGTCGGTGCACCGATTTCTCAGTTGACTCGCGGGACCGCGCGATACCTGGGAATGAATCCGCCCGACCAGCTGTTCACCGCCAGGTCCTCGATCACGGGCAAAAACTCGTCCTTTGCCAGAGCGTAGCCGACCTCGACGATCCTCTTGCCGTCCCCGGCCGTTCTGCTGGTCAGCCGGAGCGTGGGCTCCGCCTTGACGTCGCAGCCGATTTGCTTCAGAGGCGAGAAGAGGAAGGTGCCGGTGAGCTTGACGGTCGGCCCGCCGACGCACTCGAGCAGCGAGGACGTCAGGTTCGTCGGCCTGGCGCCGAGCACGATCGAGCCGGCCGGACAGGCGATGCGCAGTCCCGGCGCCTCCTTGTCCTTGTCGCCCAAGCTCAACTGGCCCGCGGCGTCGGGGTAGCGGAAGCGAGTGCCGCTCGCCTCCAGATAGAGCGTCGTCGCGTTTAGGTCCGTCGACGCGTTGAACGCGCAGCTCGGCTTGCCCGGGCCCTTCTTGCCGCTCGCCAGCTCTGCGTGCAAAAAGCTCACGGATGGACCGATGGGCCGCGCGGACTCGGGCGAACGAGCGCTCGTCGGAAACTTACGGCTGGAGAGCAGGAGGAGCGTCAGCGCGACGGAGCACCCGAGGAGCGGCGGCGGCGACATCTTTGCGAGAGTTGCGAGCCAAGCGTCGCCGGACGGCGCGAGTTGGCTTTTATAGGCCGAATCTTATCGACATCTCGGTTTCTTCGTCTTCGGAATACAAGTTGATTCCCTAATCAAGCCGGCTGCGTGATAAAATGACCAATAGCAAACAACTCGTGGAAGATTTTCAAGCCGCCGCCGGAGGCTTCGCAAATAAAGAGCAAGCATTGCGCAAGCGACTCAGCTCTGGAGGCGCCCCAACGAGTCACGGGGCAGTACACCGAGGCAGGTGCCTGCAACATCGCGGCGACCGTCGACTGCTTGTTTCTGGACTGGCGTCCGCACGGACAACGAATTCGTCGAGCAGGCGAACGGCATTGCGAAATCGCCGCGTTCGCTCTCGAGGTCGCGGATCGTCGGGTACACGGGGGGCACAGGACAGGGTCGAGCCAGCGGATTAAATCGAGGGGGACGGGAGGTCGAACGCTTCGGCTTGTCGCGCTCCCGACGCCTCTCTCGATGGCTGGCGGGGCGGCGTGGCGTTGTCGCACACCTCGTCGGCGAGCGATTACGGCCCCCCGAGTTACTCTGCCTGTCACCTCCGCGAGCGCGCGACAGCGCAACTTTGTCTAACGGTGTTCGGCGGCTTCTAATGCCATCTCGGGACAACCACTCAGCGCGCGAAGCCAGGCGAGCACTGCTTCGACGGGCAACTCGTCGGCGAACTTTGCGAGCACGGTGGAGCGGAGAGGAGGGGGGGGGAGGTCGCGGCGAATTTATCGACAGTTCGCGTCGCGCGCCGAGCGCGGTTCGACCTTTGAGCGCTCCGTCGGCAATTTGACGAATTCGCCGAAGCGCCGCGCGTCGCTAGCTTGCGGCTGCGGCAGCCGCAGTTCAATTGATGCGCGCCTCGGACGCGTCGCATCGCTCGCTGCCTCCGCCGCTTGCCGTTGCTCCCTCGCCGCGTATCCCTGCGTCCTCGAGTCCTTGACCTGCCGAATTTGCGCGCGTGCCGACCGCGCGTCTCATCCGCGTCCCGCGGCGTCGAGCCGCCGGGGAACTGCAGCTTCCTCTTGGCCGCGGGCACTCCGAAGCTGACGCTTCGGTCTCGTTCGTTAGCGTGGCTTTGATGGTCGACGCGTCGCCTCCGGGACACGAGCGAATGTGTGCACGCGCGGCCCGGCGGCGCTTCGCGTTGTTGTGTCTTATCTCCGCGGTCCCCCTGCCCCTCCTCCCGCGCTCTCTAGGGAATCTTGATTCTTGGCGAATTCGCACGGCCGCGCGACCGACTTGCTTTCGCACCTATCCTCGAGTCCACGGCTGCTTATGCGCGCACGAATTACACGCGAGAGGCGTTTTATTAATAAGCCTCACGGCCTAGTTTGGCTAAAATTGGCTCGGATTATCGATCATCGATATCCACACGTCCGCCGGTTTCGACGGGGTGGCTCGATGATCTTATTACGGCATTCGAGAGGAAAAACGAGGCGAGCTCGGCGGTTGAGAAAGGAAAAAGAAAGGCAATAATAGCAAGTGCAAATCCGAAGATTAGGGCGGCCGTGTCGGTCGTTTAAGATACTTCGGAAGCGCTCTCGTGTCGAAGGATTACAAATTGGCCGCGGCGAACGGCCCTCGTTCGCCTCGCTCGTCGAGCTCGGCACGCGCGGCTCGCTCTTTCAGCTCTTTGTCGCGCGTGGAATGTCCGGAGAACCCGTGGCCCTCGTTCGCGCGGCGATCGTCCCGGCAGATCGAACGAGCGACACGGTTTAATTGGTTTAGTTAAGAGCTGACGATAGGATTCGAGCGAAGCGCAAGGGCCTGCCAACGCAAGCGTCCTTGCGCACTCGATCAGAAATAAAACGTCGCGTCGCTCGGGCGGCAGACGAGTAAAAGGGAAAGCTTATCGGAGCGAGTGCGCGCCCGGCAGGCCGAGGTTCCCTTTTTTCACTCGCGAGCGCTGTCGGCGGCCAGATAATTAAGCGAGCGATCCATTAACGACCAACGAAAGCACGAGAGGAGGGAGCAAAAAACCAGTCGGCGCCGGTAATTCGATTCGGGCGCAATCAAGCCGAATACGAGAAGTTTTAGAAGATCCGACGTCGGCGGAGTTCATCGGAGGCAAGCCTCGCGTGTGTTAAAGGCTTTGTCGAGCTCAGCTGCGCGCGCGTTCGGTTTCCCGAGGCGTGCGGCTGCCGCTGCTCGTTGCCACTTGGTAATTAACGGGGCAAAACGCTACAAAGCGCACCGCCCCACCCGATTGAGTTTCCAGGGCGAGCGGCGCTGCGGCGCTGCGTTATCAAGACATTGTTACACCGACTAATTCGTTTGCTCGGCGATTATTCCATCGATCTGGCGTTTCCGTTCTTGTTGGCGATCGTCTCGTCCGAAAACAAGCCACGAGAAAACACATTCGTGCACGAAAGAAATCCTTCCGTGGACTGGCTGAACCAGCATTATGTACGTTTTTCCTACCCTACCTGTGCTGCTCGGCCATTCGGATCAGCAAACACGTCTGCAATTACTATCGAGTGTAGCAGTGGATTTCACGAACATCGGATTAATAAATTCAAAAAATATGATTTCTATTCGACATTTCGAATTCTCGGCGTTTTCTAACTTACGAAATACAGCGTGGGTTTGTAAACAGAAAAATGGGTACAGCGGATGGAAATCCGAGAAAAAGTGCAGGGTACAAAAAAGTTCTACGCGAAGGAAAGTTTGAAGGAACTTCGCTTCGTTTATTTATTTATTTTTCCGCGTAGATCGGACGGGAGCACTCGTACAGCAAAAGCACTCCCAGTAGCTGCGACTGCGACGCTCGCAAAAACGACGCCAAGCTGGTCGAGTTATAAAACGGATATTCGGCGCTAATCGCGTCACGGTCGCTCGGGCGCGCGCATCCTCCTTTTCACTCGCTCGCCGCTGCAACAATGGCCCGATCTCCGTGGTTTCTTCCGGCTGCGCGCGAGGGTGGCGATGAAAAAGAGAAAAACGAGAGGGCCCCGAGAGCGGATCACTCCACTGCGTGCGAAGCAGGTCTGGAGTGTCCGGCGCGGACGAGTCGGTTCATTACGACGAGGCGACAGCGCGGAATCGAGGCGAGGCATTGTTGCGCACTTGAAGCGAGCAGCGAGACCCAATTAGCCTCGAGCGAGCAATTGGGCCACCCGGTGCGGGGGTGGGGGGGGGGGGGGGGGCTAAAAACGAGGGAGAGATCGATGCCTCGCGCGGCTTTTCGAGAGGAACGAGGGAAGGCTTGGATCTCGAGGCGGCCGATTGATTTTTCCGACGGGGACGACGCGACTAATGAGCGTGACCCTCTCTCTTGTCGAGACTGCGTGCGACGAGCCGAGTGGGGGCGGCCTCTGCTCACCGCTCTGCCGAAATCCCGTCGCGCGTCGGGCAACGCGCGACGAGAAAAACTCTGGCCTGGAGAGGGAGAGCTCGTTTCGTCAGAGGCTCTCCGATGTGACAGTACGACTCCTCTTCTTCCCTGGGACGCTGCGTCCAATCGACAGCACCAATTCCCATTAATGCGGCTGTCGCAAGCAGAACAGCCCGCGAGAGCCTTCCTTTTTCGTTTGACCGAATTATAAAATACGCCGACAGGTCGCGTACGCGAATTCGTTTATTTGACGCGGAAAGGGAAGAAGATGTGCGTCGGAGCGCGCCAGTTTGTAGACGTATAGACGGGGAGAACGCGTGAGAGCGCTTGCCTCGAAAACCCTTAGCTCCCTCTTCTCGGCGCCGGAAACCCGGAAAAATAGCCGAACGATACGAGGCTATATCCATCATTAAGGCGAACGCGTGCGAGAAAGAGATTGATTGAAAAACTTTATTTGATCGTGCTCAAGTCCAGTTTGGAGCGGACCTACGGCTCTTATCCTAAAAATACAGAGCAAGTCCGACTATAAAATATACAAGCGTAAGAGCGCGAGAGCTTGGTCCCAGCGGAGTCCATTGAAAATTGGCCCGTGCGTGATCCGCGTCGGACCTCCGGACCCGAAAGGCCGACTCCCCGAGGAACCTCGATCGAAGCCACTTGGGCGCTGATTTCATTTTGGCGCCCGGTATCAATGACCGAGGTCGTGCGAGCATTCCAGAGTGGCGCGCCACCACGGGACGAACGACTCGGCGGTGCGAGGACGCCAGAGCCGTCGATCGCGAGCGGCGCGTCCCTCTGTTGGACGGGGCGTCGAACGAGGAGCACGAGCGAACGGAGGTCTCGTCGCGACGTAGCGCAAGGCGAGCGACAGCGTTAATAAGGAGAGCAACGTCTCTCCCAACGAAAATTGGGGTCGAGTGACTAACGAGATAAAGGCAGGGCGTTCGAGGAAGAGCATTCCATCTCGGTTGGGCTGCACCGAAAGACGCGCGCGCGCGCGGGCCGCAGCGATCGATGTACGCCAGATTACACGTAACGCGACGTGGCGCGCGCGCGCGCGAGCGCCACTGGCATCGCAATGGGACTCGCAGTCGATCCCGCTGCTCCATCTCGCCAGCCTTGAGGCCGGCAGGCGCTGCGCCGTTCCCCCGAGTCGATTCGCTCGCGGGGAGCGAAGGCGGCGCTGCGACTGGCAGTCGGCTTATCGGCGGTCGGACGAGGGCGCCGAGACGAGCTTGCGGCCCGCGCTGGTCGGCGCAGCGATATCGCGCGGGCGAGGGCGGAAGGGGGTGGCTCGCGCCGAGCATCCGCTTCCCCGTCGGCCCCACAGATGTCGCGCCCGTGCTCGCGCCGACTGCCGCGCTGGACACGTTCATTCTCGCGGCACGGCCGGGTCCTGTCCGACTGCCGAGCTGCGTCTCCCGTCGAAGCCGTTTGCTCGACGCCGCGAGCGAGCGAACGATCGGACGACTCGTGCGGCTAACTAGCCTTTGGCTTTTCGGTCTTCGCTTCCCAATTGAAAATGTCATCGAGGCGATTTTCTCGGTTGGACGCTCAATTAACCGAATACCCGTGTACCGGCCGAAATAAAATGAGATGTGTATCGAAAATACGAAACAAAGGCCCGCAGAAGCGAGCGCGATGTCAGCGATGTCAATTGCACGTTGTCGATGACGATAAGCAGGGCTAAATAAACGGATGATAACGCAATATTCTTATTTTCAATAATATGTTTCTGTATTTCGCATGCGTGTAATTACATAAGGGAATTACAATGTCAGTACAAGATCTAGCGAATGCTCATACAATTGTTCACTTCTGAGACTCCTCATCTCCACCGATTTATTTTGCTTTTTGGAAATATTTAAAAACGGGCCTCGCTTCCGAGAGACGAATTAAAACGGGAATTCAACCAACGGAATCCTGCACATCGTCGTATTATTACTTCTTTTTTTTGTTCAATTTTCTGTTTTTTGTTTTTTTATCTTATTTTTATTACTTTTGTTAACATTCTCACTCCTGCCGGAGAGTCGCATCGTTCGTCCCAACGAACGCACGAACAGTTTAGACGTATCGCTTGTTTTTAAAAAAGAGGGGGAAAAAGAATGTCTTTCCCTCTCCTTAATTCGTTTAAGTATATCGCAAGTATACGAGGTAAATTATAAAATAGTTTGAGACTTTTTGTGTTGCTTGTTTGTTCATTGGTACTGTATGAAAAAGGTCCACACTCGTGAGTAAAAATCAAAGAGCATAAGAAAAATACTTTGGACGGAGGCAGAGAGAAAGAGAGAAAGAGAGAGAGAGAGAGAGAGAGAGAGAGAGAGAGAGAAAGAGAGAAAGAGAGAGAGAGAGAGAGAGAGAGAGAGAGAGAAAGAGAGAAAGAGAGAGAGAGAAGAGATACACTGAAAACTAGATTGTGCTTGGAGTTAGAGTGAAGGATAGTTGATTTTTTACTCCAATTCAATATGTGACTTGTTGCTGTTGCTGTCCGTTTTGCGTCTAAAGCAACCAACAGATAAAAAGCGTGGCAGATAAGTGAGATAGAGATAAAGAAGGAAGCATCTATGTCGTTTCTTTTTGATAGTTTTTTAAATGCTATATTATACAGTTCATTTAGTTGTTTGATTTTATCGTTCGTTTAGGCAGTTTCTCAGAATACACGGAACTCAACGCAAATACAATATGTCGCATCAACAATAAAACACACACTTAATCAATAAAACACAACTTTTATTTATTGGTTACTTTATTTTTTTTTCTTATTTTCTTTTTTGTTTTGTTTTTTTTTCTTTTTCTTTGCGTTTTTCGTTTTGGCACATAAAACTAAAAGCGAGCCAAGGATCTACCCGGATATGAATTATCGCTAGAGATCGTCGTACAGACTGTTTACCGTCGCTTAAAGACTCCTTAAGACGAAAAAGTTTGTGCACGTGTCGAGTGAATTGTTGCCAATTGTAATGTTCGCAAGAACACCATGCCAAGGGAGGGTTCGGTGCATTGGAAGCTTAGGCCCTTGAATAAGTATCGTCTATCGTCCGCGTCGCGTGCCTTTGCTTGTTTCCCTTTTTTTTCGTTTCGTTTCGTTTAGTCTAGTTTTGTTGTTGTTATTTTTTTGTTGAGTTTTTACCCTTTTTAGTTTGTCAGTGTTGTCGAGTTTCGTTTGTGTAGCAGCTAATGGGACTAGAGAAAAAGTGACGCTACGACGAGTAAGCCTACGGCTACGAAGTGTGCGCGCGCGTTTACAACGCAGCTATTATTTGTTGACGCGTGTTGTCGTGTGTACCTCGGAAAAAGACAGGAACGGAAACGTCGCCGTCTATTTACAAGCCGCGCGAATGGTTGCTTTGTTTAATTACTTACGATCTAAAGCGCTCGAGCGAATGGCAGCGTCTTTCTGCCCCGGGTGCGTTGGTTGGCTTTGTCTCGCTCCGCGGATCCGCGCCGTCGCTGCTGCTGCTGCTGCTGCTGCTGCGGCTGCGAAATGTCATAGCTGCCCGCGCGCGCGACAACTGCAATTTTACTTGTTTTCTTTCTTCCGAGCGCGACACCGAGAAATTTGCGCGAACAATGGGCGCGCGCGTTGCGTGCCGAGCCGCGAATCTTCTCGGACTGGCTGCTAGCCGAAAGGTTAGTTTTCCTCGTCGCTTCGACGAATCAAAGAAAAGTAGCGAATTGATTTGACGCCAGCAGCAACAGTGGCGACGCAGCCAGACGTGCTATATATAACGAGAACGACGTTTCGTGAAGCTGAAAATATGTGTGCGATCGATTTGTTTGTCAGATACTTTTTAAAGCTTTATCAATTTAATACGCCATCTCTGTTCGTTTCTCCCCACTCGAGTCCTCTTTTTCATTGATACTCACACCTTCCCGCGGCTTCATCGTCCTTTCATTTTATACGTATATATTTCTATTATCGTTTTATTTAGAGTCTCTCTAATTCGTATGAAAAATTACGTACCCACAGCCTTGCCAACCAATACTGTGCGCGTGAGCGTGCTGCTTCTACTACTACGACCACCCGCCTCCCATTTTCATCGCATCGATTAAAATTCTTTTTTTACGCTGTCCGTACTTCTCATCGGACTGCACCTTCCCTCGTCGTCCTCGCTTTCTTTGTTCGGGCTCGCGTACGGCATGCGTCCCCCTCGAAAACTCGCCCGGTACGCCTCATTCGCTCGCACACGCGCTCAAATTTATTATTTAATCGTCATCAATTTCAAAGACTCGTTACTTTGTATTTGCACTATTATCTCGCTCGCACTCTCGCACTTGCGCCACCTCTTATTAATGCCACTTTAAATTCACAACGCGACCTTCCTTTCACCTTTTATTACATAAATTCATTTATTCTCTCATGCAATCAGCACGTAACAATTTCTTTATGTATAATATATATTTATATATATAATATATTCATTTATTTAATCGTTCATTTATTCTGTTTATTTTTTTATTAATCGATTTATTTGTTATGTATAATATATATTATCGTCTTTCGTCGCACATCGTATAATTCAACATACGCAAATACAAAAAGTTGATTATCTTAATTCCCCGTGTTAAATTGTTTAGTTTTAAAATTCGAAAAATTGATCCTCAACGCGGATTCTTCACACAACGGAATAACGTAGGGTTCGCGCCTGCCCTCTCCCCTGATTCTCGGTAGTCATTAAAGTGTGTGTGTGTGTGTGTGTGTGTGTGTGTGTGTGTGTGTGTGTGTGTGTGTGTGTGTGTGCGTGTGTGTGTGTGTGTGTAAACCATGTAGGTTGATCATATATCATCGTCGTCGTGCGCGGAACGTCGAATTAGAGCCGGCGTCGTTTATTACAAATACTTCTAGCTACGTGTTTCGTCGGCCGCGCAATCACACCGGCGAGAGCCGCGCCGCTGGCTGACCGCGCGCCGACCCTCTCCACTTCGGCCGACCCGCTCTCTCTCTCTCTCTCTCTCTCTCTCTCTCTGTCTCTCGCCCACACTTCCCCATCGGTTTATTGACTGTGCGTGTGTAACGCTCGCGGCGCGCGCCGGGACAATGGGGCGAAATTCTTACTAGCGAGTTTGCGTGCATGTTTGCGCGGCTCTCCGATATCTAATCCGTACGATTAACCCAACCCGCCCGCGCACGAGTCTCGCTCCCTAATATTATTACGCGCGTAAACGGATCGCGCTTGTCGATGTGGCGGCTCAACAACGTCCCCCCTCCCCCCTTATTATTGGTGTATATGCGCGAGATTAAATAATGGTTTCGAACTTCTCGAGGATCTGTGCGTATGTGCGTGTATACTCTGCTTCTTTATTTCCTTTTTTTCTCTCCCTTTTTATTTCTATTTATTTTATATTATTTCTTTAACTGTTTTCTTCTTTTATAATTGTTCGTTTTACTCGCTAGCTCACTCGCTCATTCGCTGCTCTTTTATTTGTCGACTAGGTCACCCTCGCGGCTTGCCTTTCTCCTCATTTTATTTGTATTTTAAGTGCGAACGGAGGCGTATGTGCGTGGATACGACAGTCACTCGGCGACCGCCGTAGACGGCAGCGTGGAAAAAATCTCGCGAGCCCTCCATCCCATTTGTTTTTCTTACTGTTTTTCTCTCAATTAAATTTAACGAAGACACGTATTTGGCACGTATTTTCTTTTTTTAGTTTTACAGCTGAACTCAATCGCGGAGATGTGTGTATTTCAAGTACAATATATATTTATTTATTTAGGAGTTAATCGAAAGTATAATATGATATAGCGTGTTTATTAAAATGTACGCGTGTCAATATATTGATTGCCAGGACTTTCCTCGGTGTGACGAGAAAAACGATATATCGTTATACGTATTTCATTACATAGGAACAGAGACGAAGATTGGGGACAGACTATACGCGTTGCCCGAGTAAACCTAATTCAATTCCTTTGTGTTTCTTTTTTTTCATCGTTATGTAATTGATTATTTAATTGGTTAACCTTATTATTTATCAACAGTTTTTTTGTTTCGTATCTATAAACGTTAACAGCTTTAACGTTGCCTCTTGCGAAATTCTCTGCCATACTCTCGCCTGCGTCCCTCTTTGTTTTCCTCCATTCCGTTCTATTTTATTTATATTTTCATTTTTTATCGAGGTTTCAGTTTATTTTACAATGCACCTTCGCTTATTACTACTCATATATTCCTCTTGGTATCGCAATCGCGCATATGTTTAACTCTACGAGCGCTAAGTGTTATCGTGTATATGTATATGTATGCATATGGCTATTATTAAAGCGCAAGTGCAGCGTTGGAAGCGCGAGGGGAGATCGTTATAACGTGCCCTCGCGCGATTGACCAATCGGTTGTTTCGCAAGTGTACGCGATCATTGCGCGCGATGGGTGCACGAGACGAGGCTCGGCTCTCGTCGCCATCGACGAGCGAAACTGAATTTACGGATTCGGGTGCGCAGCAGCCAAAGTGCGCGCGACATCGAAACAACCCCTGGCGGCGCACGAAAAGCTTGTCTCGGAACGCTGTGCAGAACAGGCCGAGGTAACTTGGGTAAATACGATATCTGGAATCTGTCAATTATATATCCGCGCCAGTATTTCAACTGACGTTCGCTGATTTCATGGCGCTTGAAAGGCGCGCGAGTCGATGCAGCGTTTCGCGCTCGAAGATTATGATAAAATATTTCGAGGGCTTTCAGCGCCAGCTCCGTGCAAAATTATATTTCGCGGATGCGACGATGGAAAAAAGGCGGCGAAACGGCGCCGGGAGGGGCGAGCGTTCGTTTTCGACGCTCCGCTGAAAAAGTTTCGCGAAGACATCGACGAGGAGGGGGCAATGGAAGAACCGCAGCTGCGTCGTCGAACGGCCAGCGCGGGAGAATAGGAGAGAAACCAATATGCATATATCGGCGAACCTGCGCGCTTATTATCGCACACACACGCACGCACGCACACGCACACGCACGCAAGCACACGCGCACGTCAAGAAAAACTTTTACGGACTCGAATTCGTCGAAACCCAGTAAATTTTCGAAACGACGACCAGCAAAAGAAAAGAGCTCTCGAGCAGCTGACGTCCATTAACGAGCTGCTGGCTGACTGCCTTAAAGCCTTTTGTTCCCCGCGCCCCCTCCCTGCCGACCGCTCGCGGGATTTACGGGTGGGTTCGCGTGCATCGGCCGTCGGGAAATGAATGACTTGGCGTACAGAGGATCGCTCCTGATTCCTGAGAAATTCGTCAAGTTTTCGCGCTCGCGGGCTCGCGCCTACAGCCGCTCTGCCGACGCCTTGCATTATATCCCTAATCGCTACAATACTCTCCTATGGTAATATCAACAGACGAGGATGATGAGTTTCTCTTGTTTTGCCTATAATCTATGTTTTTGGTTTGCACATCTTGCTTTCGATTTTCCGTTTATTTTTCTCTCTTCCGATAGCCGAGCGAGCATACAAATGATAATGCGTACGCTATACATCTATAGTTTTTAGCTGCTCTTATTTACCGTGCGAGTCGCCCGTTTGCTGGATATTCCTCGTTTCTCGCATTTTTATACAACTATGAACATAACGTTTATCATATATTTATAATAATAATAATATATAACCCGGGAGGCATTTTAGGTGGTGGATCTTTACACGTATAAACGCTTCGAGTTTTTATTCATTTCGTTTTTAGTTTAGACTTTTTCTTAAACGGTAATAGTAAGAATATGTATAATATGTATATCGCGCACTTACGTACTTGCTCTTCTCTCTTATTGAATAATATGTTATATATAATAATGCTACAATATATCTAGATATCCTTGCCTCCTATAAATGAGTTTGTTTTATTTATCATCGACGCGACAACATTCTCCTTTCTTGCTCTCTTTTTATATAAAACAATCGTTTATATCAATAGATTTATTGATGTATCTTTTTTACTGCGATTTATATTATATTTATATTATTTATACGTACGTAATATATGTATATATAATATACTCTGCACGCGAGAGTGTATCACTCCAGCAACGTGGTTATACATTTGTTCGGTGGTTTGCTTTGTGCGCGGACGCTGCTCTCTCTCTGCGCGGATCAGAATGACAACAGGTTGGCGCCGCGCGAGCGAAGGGTCCGAAAAAGTCACACGCGCGCGCACGCACGCACGCATACACACACGCATACACACACACACAAACACGCACACACGCACACCGAGATGCCGAGTCGACGACGTCCTCGCGCTCGAGCTCTCGCCCTCTATGGTTATTACTTGTTGACCTGGCTGCCCCGGCGTGCGCCGCCTCTCGCTTGCGAAGATATAATTGACGAGCGAGCGAGAGCTCGAGCGACTGCCGCGGCGGCTCCTGGCGCGTGCGCGCCCGTTGCGACTAGACTACGTCTTCCTCGATGTATTGGCAGTTGAGTGCGAAGGCCGTGGTCGTGTGCAGAGAATTACTGCGCTCTGCTCCCGTGGCGCGGCTGCGCTCGCCGCTCGGCCCCGGCGCTAAGGACATCGCGGCGCCGTCTCCTCGTGGTCGTCCAGCCGAGCCCGGCCCGCCGCTTCCTCCTCCTCGCTCGGGCGTCTTCTGTCGAGCAACAGCAGCGTTAGCGGCCTAGAGGCGCGCTCGTTAAGGGAGCTCGCGCGTCCCGAGGCGAGGGCAAGGCGCGACTAACGCAACCCGGATGTTTTCGCCTCGAGAACGCTCGCTTTGCGAGCGACGAGTTTCGCGTGTCGCCTTTCGCGGATAACGCGCCGGCGTCTCCCGGCGGAGCCGCGCGAACGAGATACGGCGCTGCTCGAACTGCCGAGTCGGCTTACTTTGGTCCGTGAGATCGTGGCGGGCGGTCCCGGGGCCATGGTCCTCGTGGTGGCGGCTGGCGCTGGACTACTGGACGATGATGTGGGGCGCGGAGAAGAGCACCGCCACCGTGGCCACCACCGTGAACAGCGTGAACGCAATCAGGCAGAACCTGTCGGCGACAACGCAAAGGACAGTGCTGACCTCGGAGACCGCTCTGCGTCGGGTGCGCCCGGCGGAGCTCACCTGTCCACCACCATGGCGGCGAACTTCCAGTCGCTCACTATCTCCGACTCCAGGTCGGCCTTCTTCATGCGGCTCGTGATGAATTGCAGCTCCTTCAGGATCGTGTGCAGCTCGCGCTGCGTGCCGCTCAACGGCAGTGACGCCGACGTCTCCTCCACGGTCGACGGCCTCGTCGTCAGCGGCGTCCCGTAGACCGACCTGTGCGGGACACGGTTAGCGGCTGTACTCTCTCGTCGTTACGGCTTTTTTCTTCCTTTTTTTAGACTGCGCTTTTCCTCGCTACACGCAAAGTTCGATAACTGGACGAGCGCCGAGAAACTCTTGCCGGCTTTTAATTGACGTTTATCAGCTAATAAAGCCAACTTCCGGCCAAGCTTTTTTCCCTGACTCTGCTGTAAGGCCGGCCGACACATCCGAGTCGATCAACGCGCTTCGGAAATAATTACTCCACGGCGCCGGCCGCCAATATTGTTCTTGCGAAATTCGAGCTTTCGAATCGTCGGCTGAGCGGCAAAACAAACGTTGACGACCTAGCAGCGCGACCTAGAAATGCACTTAGTCGCGCTCATCGTTACTTTCTACGATGGGCAAAGGAACATTTTATCGTTCTTTTACAGCAGGCGTAGATAAATAAAAAACACGTCGCCGCTAACTTTCTTGAGAATATTTTTCGCTGGGGCGGATCAAACTACGTTCCACGAGCAATACCGTTCGAGATTCAGGTCAAACTGATAAAAAAAGAAAAAGTCGGCAAAGACATCGTTACAAAGGTGTTTTTAAATTTAAAACGAGCCCTCTCGCGCGCAGACTTTTCACCAGCCGTCGTGCTCGCGCGCGACAGTTTACCTTCGTACGGATCAATGCATCGCGGAGCCTCTGCCGACGAACGCGTTGGACGAGGCGACCGCGCCTCGAGTGCAACGACAAAAGCGTCTCGAGCCTGCGAGCCCGACAAATGGAAGCTTTGTACCTCATGTAAGTGGAGGTTGGCTGCGTGCTGCCGATGTGTCGGAAGTCGTCGTCGATGTCGAGCACATTGGCGAGCAGGCTCTTGCTGCTCCGCTCCTGCAGCTCCAGCTCCTTCATGCGGTTCGTCATGAGGATGGTCTTGCGCGTGATTTTCTTGCCCGGCCGGTCCATGCGCAGCATCCACGGCAGCCATTGCAGGAACACCGCCTTCGTCTGCCGGCACGATTCGTGTCGCGGTCATCGTCATCCGTTCGCTCGCCGATTCCCTCCGAACTTGCCTTGGCCGATTCGATCGTCTCGTTGGCGCGGGAGCCCTCCGGATCGGCGGAGATGAATTTACGTCCCTCGGACAAAAGCGGCCAGCAAAGCCGTAACAAATAGCCGGCGCGATAAGTATCGGGCCATTCGAAATGATTAACAACAACCGCATTGATTTCGCGGGCGACCTGGTTCGATTGTTGCCCGCCGCGACACAATGACGCTCGGCGTGACGCGATTGACTGCGCTCGTATCGCGCATTGTTCTCTCGAATCCGATCGACCGTTAAATCTCATTATGCCACGGCGAAGTCGCGACGGCCGGGATATCCGCGGCACTGGCGCCGCAGTTCTCGGCGCGAGCGCGTCGCGGTTGGCCGAGCTACGGCGGCCCGTTCGGCGCGCCGACGCGAGGCGAGGACCACGCTCTTCCGGCGAGGCCACAGCCGCGGCGCGAGCTCGATAAGCGACTTACCCAGTTGGGCATCTCGTAGTTGTCGGGCTTGCGGTGGTGATAGTTGAGCACGAGGACCGTGAGCACGACGCTGCTCGCCACCATGAACATGATGCAGTTGAAGTAGGTCCCTGGTCGAAGCGTCGGCGGTCGGCAACGGGAGACACGCGCGCGCGCGCGCGCAAGCATACGCGAGAAGGATCGGAGAGAAACAGACACACAAGAGAAGAGGCGATTAGTCGTGGCGACGGCGCCGAACGCCAGGCGCGCGCCGAATCTCGCTCTCCGATTCGGCGCCTCTCTGCCTGGCTTTGCTTTTTCTTTTTTATTATTTTTTTTTTCGTGTCGAGCAACAGTGAAAGAGAAACACTCAAGGCGTTTAAGAACATAGTTTTTTTTCTTTGTTATTTTTTTAGACGTTTGGTTTAATGTCGCGCGATCGTGCACTGACTACACACAACTGGCACAACTACAGCAAAGTAAAAGTGAGAGAGAGAGAGAGAGAGAGAGACAGACAGACAGACAGACAGACAGACAGACAGACAGGCAGACAGACAGACAGATAGATAGATAGACAGACAGACAGACAGATACAACTATCGTCTAGGAGACAGAAGCAGAAGCAGAGAGCTAATTACTTACTGTGTGCGCTCGTGAAGGAGGGAGATATATAGGGTGCGCGTACACTTGGTTCGCTTACTGTAGATACTTCCACGCGGAGCCGCTTTGCGTGGCACTTATGCGCAAGCTTTGTCGGCCTCGCGCCGTGCTGAGAAGCGTCGCCACTGCCGCCGCCACCGCCGCCGCCGCCGCCGCCGTCGCTGCGTCGGCGGGGTGAAAACGCCGTCCCTCTCGCCCGACGATCGGCGAGGCGGCGGAGTGCACGGCGTCGCGGCGCTTAGCGACCTAGGCGAGAGGATGCCTCTCGTCCACGTTGGTCAGCGCGGCTGGTGCCCACGCGAGTGCTAATCGCGCGGGACTCTTGCCAGCGACGAGCGCGAGGCGTGCAGTTGAACAAAGCCAAATAAAGCCGCGAAGAAGGGGGGGGGGGGGCGGTTAACCGGACATGAGACAGGCACAGTGTGACGCAATTGGCAGCTGCAGTGTAATGTGAGCTCGTCGTTGCACAAAATTACTATCGAGTGCACGGAGTTGTGCACGTATACGTATACGAAAAGTGAGTGAGAGCGTGAGAGAGAGAAAAAGAGAAAGAGAGAGAGAGAGAGAGAGAGAGAGAGAGAGAGAGAGAGAGAGACGGAATGTTGACTGTAGTATCGGGGAAGGTAAATCGTCGACTGATCAATATGCATGCTTGTACACGTGAACATCAGACGACATATATACCTGTATATATAATACATCCCGCGCATACATATTTCCAAGTAGGACCTTAGACACTCAGCGTAGATTTTCGTAATGCAAATGCCTGAGGCTCTCTCACGACGGTAAAAAAAAATAAAAATAAATAAAAGAGTTGATAAAAGCTGATGAGCACACATCGGGGCAGAAGAGAGTAACGCTGTAGAGAGATCGAGACGGCGATCACAGAATGAATGCCAAAGGGGGTGAGACGGGAAGAGACAGAGAGAGGGAGAGAGAGAAGGTTACAGTGACGGACACACAGCGAGGGCATGGTGCATCTTCAATGTAAATTTGACCGCGAGCTAATCGAGGTCTTCTACGCGCGGCACTCGATCTGGATAATGAGCGCCCTCGGCAGTGGCGCGCGCGCCGTCCAAACAAAATCGAAAGTGGGTCGGCGTTCCCGCGACGCGCGCGGCGCGTGCGACATTGTCGCGCGCGCGCCCATCGGATTAACGGCCTTTTGTCTCGCTCGTTTGCCAGCAGTAACCAGCTCCCGCGCCGAGCGTCACTCGGTCTCCTCGACTGCGAGCGCGCGACCTGCTCGTAAAACTCGCTCGTGCCCCCTCCCCCCCTTTCGCCACCCTCGTTTTGCTTTTTGTTTTTATTTGCACCGTACGCAAACCTACCGACGTGTTTTACACCGTCATTATACGACGTACCGGCTGATGGACTATGATTTTCTTGTCTCTCTTTTCTTCCTTGCGGCTTCTCTTTCGACCCGAACAGTCGAAAACTCGAGCCCTTCATCTCGCTTTCGTTGCGAAATTTGATTACGGGTGGTAAAGGTAAATTTGAACGGCGATTAACGTTCGATCGCGGAAGCTTTGCACTCGCCCATCCCCGCCGCGAGTTGGGAGCGTCCGGGCGAGAGAGATCGAATTTCGCGAGGGTTCTGGACAAGAAAGCGCCCGCTCGAATGAGAGCGTCAATTCGCCAGAAACGGCCGTCTGAACGCGCGACAGGCGAGGAGTGTGGATCCGGTGCCAAAGCCATGAACGAGCGCCGGAGTCGAAGGGCTCGAGGCGACGGCACACTCTGGCCGGATTGCGCGCGTGGGAATTCGGCCGACTGCGACGAGGAGGAACGATGGAAGATTGGAGTAAGCGCTCCGGAGCGCTAAACCGGACGGAAATGGAAAATCGAGCCCGAGGCCACGCGGACGTCCTCCTGCCTCCTCGCCCTCGTCTTTTCCGCGGAGCAGTTTCATTTTAATTGGCGCTCGGAGTTTCATTCTCGGCGGAGGGGCGCAATACGCGCGCGCGCCAACGGCATGAAAACGAGAGAGAGAGAGAGAAAATAAAGAACAGCCCGGGCGTGCGCTTAAGGAATAATCAAGAGGCATCGAAAAGTCAGGGGCTAACGAGCTAAGCGCGGCGCTGGCGGCGTGCCAGCCACGTCGGCACACGTCGACCGCGCGGCGGAACCGGCAGCAGAAGCCAGCGCGTCAAAGGGAATTAACGCGCGTTTCGGCCTTTCTCCCGTCCTCGGGCAAAAGAATCTCTCCCCGCGGTGGCATTCAGCCGGCGCGGCGCATCAATCAGCACCGCAGAAGCGCGCGAGGATACAAATGGCCGACCAGAGAAATGCTAAAGACGAAAGAGAGAGAGAGAGAGAGAGAGAGGGTCTTTCATTAATCTCGCTCGTTTATTCCGCGCGAGAGCTCCGCCGGACTACCCTTTTGTGCGCTCACGGCTAATTTGCGATGTTTGAAAAATGCCTGGCTCTTTTTACCTCGTTTCACTTACCAAATTGACGCTGAGCAGTTTATTGTCGATTGGCGCTACGGAGAGTGGACAATTCGTGGCGTAATCGTGGCATGTTTGGCCAGTACTTGTCCAATTTATATATCCAACTACTGGGATCGCGCGGGTAAAAGGCTCGCAATGATGGATCGGCGCGATGCTACATTGCACATTCAATATGAAACGATGCCGTTGTATCTTTTCCCAATAAAATTTCTATTAAACGTCCGAGATAAAAGGAAGAGAGAGAAAGAGAGAGCATCAACGTGCAACGAGAGTCGGTGAACCGCGACGTTATTGGAACAACATTAAAAACTCATTAAATTATCAGCTTACGAATTTTGTAGGCAGGAGGCGGAGAATGCGATCGACAGATCTCTCCCTCCCCCCCTCTCACTCTCTCTCTCTCTCTCTCTCGATGCTCCAGCCGGGCGTGCTTATCGGTAATTGCGAAATTTCATCAACGAGATATCAAAAAACCCCGTAGCTTCTCGCCTCTTTTTTAAGCTCGCGAAACGTACGCTCGGCCGATTCGTCGCGCGCTGGCCCCTCCCCCCCGTGCCCGTGAAATGATTACATCCGCGGGAGCCGTAAAAGGCAGGTGCGCATCCCAGGCCGCTCGTCAAAGTTGCAGGTCAGCGCGGTGCGCGTCCCCGGCACGCAAATAATAAACGAGTCCGCGGGGCGCGCAAGCCAGGAGTTGTTTGCCGGCAAACGGTGGACGAAGGCGCAGAGGTCGGCCATGCCGAAGCACTCGATGCGCGACGCATCGGCCGCGCGGATGGACACCAGGCGATACCTGCCCGCACACTCCGGCGCGCCAAAGGACTTGGCGCCTTCGATCGAGTCGACAATGCGAGCGTGTGCCTCTCAAGCGAGAGAGAAAGAGAGAGAGAGAGAGAGAGAGAGAGAGAGAGAGAGAGAGAGAGAGAGAGAGAGAGAGAGAGAGAGAGAGAGAGAGGAGATAGACGAGGAAGAAGGTGGCGCGAGGGTGCAGGAAGAAAAGGGCTGACTCTTTACTTTCAATTTTCTTTTAATTGAGTGCAATTCCGGAGGCTTGCCGGCTGGCGCGTGCGCGCGCGCCGGGCGATCCGCTCGTAAATTAGAAATGTTAATTTGCCGAGAGTCGGCCGCGCGGCTCGTTTAATTTTCTATCCTTCTCCAACGGGGGCGGCCACGCGCGGCTCGACGCGATCCCTGCAAAGGTCGGATGCCAAGACGACCGACCGCGTCCCTCTATCGATCTTAGATCGACTTTATGGCCCGCCGCTGGGACCGACGGGGGGGGGGGCCGTCTCGCGGAGCCCGCGTCCATATTCACACGAGCACCCACGGCGCAGGTGCCAGCCCAGCGGCTTCGTCAATTATTACCGCGGCTTCGATCGGCCGCGCGGCAGCGAGATGAATAACCCAGAGCTGACCGGCCGGCTGAAATAAACACACGGCGCCTCCACGTCGATAAGCCAAGCCGCGCGCAAGTTGGCGCGCGACGTTAATTATTACTTTGGATCGCGCGCGCAGCCGACCGGCTCAACAAGTTAATTAGCATGGCTCTCGCGAGCGATGATCTTTCGGCGAATGGGACGAGAACCTAATTAACGCCTACCTGCCGCCGCCCGCCGAGCGAGCGACAGACCGAGAGTCAACAATTGCGCGAGTCGATCCTCGCCGCGATGCTAATTAATTAGCGCCGGCGCGAGTCGTTTCCTTCGCGCGCGCTCGCGCCCCGCCGTCGCTTCCTCCGCGGGAATCCACAAGCGACGCACGGGCCGGGTGCGTCGATCGCGTCGAGCAGCTCGACGATCCATAGAGGAGGGGGGCCGGGGGGAGCGGCTCGTAGAAAATAGCAGGTCGTCCCGGGCGAAAGTTGCGCGGCGGGAGTTTTCGCTGGCGTCGCGCGGATGCCTGCGCGATCGCTGCGGCGTTTTTCTGCCCGCTCGCGCGCACTTCAAAGATTAATGGAGATACGGGGCAAAAAGAGACGAGAAAGAGAGAGGCAGAGAGAGAGAGAGAGGCTTGTGCGGCATAATACTTGAGAGATGCTTTATATAATGCTCGGGCGTTAATCTACAAGAAGCAGTTTGCGCGTTCCTTTTATCATAATCTACTTATATACAGCATTTTCAGTTGAGAACAGCCAGAGAGGAGATAGAACTAAGAGAGTCGTATGTAATGTAGATATAGTCAAAGGAGTGTTGTATGTGTGTGTCTAAGTGTTATAGAGCTTGGTAAGTTTTCAGCTTTTAAGGGCTCGCTTCGTTAATTCTTCGCTCAAATTTACCTCGGTTACACGTGTTCAACCAAAGAGCTACTCTCGCTGTGCTTCGCTTCAGCCCAGTCAGCTTTTACGGCAATTTTATCGCGAAGCGTATCAAGCGACAGAGATTAGTTGGTTTTACCGGCGAGTCGATGCTCAAGTTGCAGACGTTACATCGGCAGAGGATGCGGAGTGAGACAACAACCGAGCGGCAGTCCGACAGCGAAGCAACAAAGATTTTCAAAAGAAATAGCTGAAGCGCTCGCTTACCGATAACGATATGCACCGTGTACTGCAAGTCCGTAGCACATGCTCGTACAGTTAAGACGCAGGATGATACAAGAGCAGTGGAATCCGTCACGACCGGTCGCTGGTTGTCGTTGCCGACGGCTTTCGGAGTGGGCCGTGAAATTATCGCAGCGACTGGGCACACGCGGCGCGTCGGCGTTCTCTCTCGTGTCGCGCGTCTCTTACACACCGGATAGATGAATATATTTATGCTCGTCAAGATTAAGAGAGGCCGTCAGAGTTTGGTTTACAAAAGCCGAGGGCAACAAAATCTAGGTCAACAAGGCATGATAGAGATAGTGAGAGAGTGAGAGAGAGAGAGAGAGTGAGAGAGAGTGAGAGAGAGTGAGAGAGAGTGAGAGAGACAGAGAGCAAGAGAAAGGTAATATAAGGCGTTTCGTGAGTATGATCATTGCGTGCGCTACGCGCGAGCTTTCCTTATTTCTTTGCTTTTTTATCATCGTGTCTTGGTTTGGTTTTTTTTACTTTGATCTTTCATGTCGTGATCGCTTATACAGTTGATTGCTTAGTTGTTTTTAATAAGTAAATCGTCATTTTCTCTTGACGCGTTGTCTTTTTTCTTTCTTTTTGGTTGCTCCTCTGAGGACACAAGAAAGTTGAAAGAAGAGCAGACGAGAGTCGGCTAAGGAGGATAATGCGTGGGGAACGGACGGGGATGAAAAGTCGGCTCTGCTCCTTCCTGCAGCTGTTCTCTCGTTGCGGACAGCCAGAGGCGAGCTCTAGACAATATTTTGACTCGCGAAAAAAACGCGAGCCGCGCAGCTGGAATAACGCTGCTGGCGCTCGCAGCCACGCTGTATTTTATCGTTATGCGCCGTGCGATATATCTCGAGTGCCAAGCCACTTATAGATCGATATCGTTTTCGCCCTTTTTTTTTTATTTCCTTTTGCCCGTGCCTCGGTTATTGAAAAACAAATAGCACTGTCAAATCGTTCATTGTTTTAATCTCTCGAATTTGTCTCGAAAAGTTTGCCGGGAAAATTCCAAGGCGGAAACAAAAGCCTGGTGTTTTCCCGTTCTCATCAACAGCTCTCGCAGCAAGAGAATACAGCCACGAGGGCAGAATGTTTCTCCCTCGTTGAGAGGTGGTGAAAGAGGGGGATGAGCGAGTCGTAAAGATATTAATGTAGGGCGAGAGAAAGAGGAAGAGAGGAAGAGAGGGAGAGAGAGAGAGAGAGAGAGAGAGAAAGAGAGAGATGGTGTACCTATGAGCGGCACCGCCTCGGAAGTGCGGGTGATAACGTGGGCCACCAGCAGCGAGAAGACCGTCTGGGAGAGTAGAATCGTCACACCTGTAACACAGATCACAGCCGCGACGAGGCCGCAACATGTGAACGATTCTCTGCGCCGCCTGTTCTTCGCGTGCGTCGAGATATGTCTGGATCGCCGCCAGATTTCTCAAGTCAATTGCATCGACTACGACTCGTTGCTTTCTTCACACTCACGCTTACACAATGATTGTTATATGTACGGTACAACAGTGACGACAGCAACACCCATTCACACGCACGTGATACAACGACGATACCAACGAGTTATCGTTGGAGGACGAGAGAGAGAGAGAGAAAGAGAGAGAGAGCGAGAGAGAGAGAGAGAGAAGAGATGGGCAGGAGAGAGAAAATGAGAGAGATGTCGATGTCTGTGATGTGAACGCGATGAGAACCGATCGACGGACGCCCGTCAGCGACTTACCTTTGAGTTTCTAGAAAGCCCTCGGGATCTCCATCTAATTGGCTCGAGCTCTCTATACGTATTGTAGAACCGCGGCTCTTTACAAATTCATGGACGTACGTCGTCGAGAATTATATCCTCCTCCTCCTCCCCCACCCAACTTCCGCACGTTTCATATTGCCCGTTTCTTTCTTCTTTTTGTCTTTCATTTCTCAAACCCAGGGGCTTACACAAATTGAGTCTAATGTAATCCGCGGGAGAGGGAAAATTCGCGTGACGCCCGGTACAAGCGCGAAAAGTCTACGGACGGGAAAACCGCCGCGAGACCGGCGGAGGCTCGCGTCGAATACTGATTTCGCCGACCTACTATTTTGGAATTGAAAGCGCGGCCTGCGCGTTTCTTCCGACGTGGCGAGCGATCGGTCGGCACACCCTCGAGTTCGCGCGGAAATTGAAGCAGCCGCTCCCTCCTTCGCGCTCGCGGGAGATACGGCGCGCCGACGCGACGGCACAGCGGAGGCCGCCGTCGCGCGAAAGCGAGTGGAAGCGGTCGACGCTCGGTCGTCCGGCGAGGCGGACGAGAACAGCTGCGCGGCGACAGATCTCGCGGCGCGGCTCCGCTTATCGGTCCGTAGTGCGTCATAAACGAGCTCTCCAGCGTCGCGCCGCCGGGAAAAATCAATCGGCGAAGGGCCGGCCGTAAAGGCACGCGACGCCCCAAGGCGGCGGAGCGATAAATCCGGCGACACCTGTCCCGCCGCCGTCGCCCCGCCGCGGTCGCGCTTCGAGAAAAAGCGGAGCCTCGCGAGCGCGGATCCTCGTTATCGCCGCCATGATTTACGATCGCGACCTCTCCCCCTCCACCCTTGCGATTGACCGCCCTCGTCGATCAACGCTTCGCAGCTGCGTGGAGCATTGTCTGTCTGTCGGTCTGTCTGTCTGCGTCTGTGTGGGGTTTCATATTTATTCAAGCGCCAGGGGGAGCCAAGAGAAGTGTAAAACGCAGCACAGAGGAAGGGTAGAGTGCAAAGCATGTTCAAATCAAACGAAAAATTTCCAAGTTTTTTAGTCTGTTTTTTTTAAGAGTCGAGCTTCGGGAAAGCGACTCTGCTGATCTTTTAGTTACGCGTTAGTCCGGTTTACATTATAGGTGCTTGAAAGAGAGAGAGAGAGAGAGAGAGAGAGAGAGAGAGAAATAAAGATAAATACAGAGATAGAGTGAGTAGAGGAGAGATAGAGTTCGCATTTATTTTTAGAGATCGATGGTTTATCACTTGTATATTTAATGTTGAACGAGTATACACAATATATAATCCATCAATAGTTATAATAGAGATATGTAATACGATCAAATACAAAATGAACACTGCGCAATTTGTTCGAATAATCATGGCCGCAGTTCAACACACGGCAACCTCAAACTTCAAATCATCATAATCAAAGCAACAGTGAGAAAAAAAACAGATTTTACGGTCAACAGCGCCAAATATATATATATATATATATGTAACAATAGTAGTAAGAAAAAACAAAAATCAACTCGCAGAGAAAGAGAGTGAGGAAGAAGTTTGGTGAAAGAATACATACGCATACATATACGTATACGATGTTACATACTGTGTTTATGTACATCAGATAGTACAATGCAAGCGAGGGTGAGAGAGAGAGAGAGAGAGAGATAGTAAGAGAAGACGAGCCAACGAAAAGTAATGGGCAAAAAAACGAGAGATAAAACGACGTCTCGGAGTTGGGGAGAATGAAAGCAGCGTAGCATTGCAGTGGGATTTCTATTCAATTACGTCCGTCGATGTAATCGCTTCTTTTTCCTAGGCGCTGTTTGCCCTCGGCAAACGCCGAACCCGTCGCGGAGCGTCGTTATAACTAGGGAGCGCCAGGATTTGCCGTCCGCCGTCGCGCGACCCCGCGGATTAAATCGAGTCGCTGCGGTCCCGGCACACGCGCGTCATCGGACCTGCGGACCCGTCTCGCCGCCGTCCGCGGATTAGTCTTAGAGCATTGTTCCCGCGAGCCGTAGCCGAGAGATTTGCTTTCGCGCGAGCGGCGCTGAGTCCGTCGGAGATGGCGCGTCCGCGTCTCCCCACGGAAGCTTATCCCGGCGATTCGAACGTTCCGCGACCTCGTTTCGGCCATTATACGCCCGCGAGCCGCGATGCATTTTTAGAAAGCCGCGAGCCGAGCATAAAGCGGCGATCGAGCTCGGAAGAAAAAAATAATCAATCGCCGACGACTGGGGAGCGCTCGTAACGTCTCGTTTTCGTCGGAGCATCGTAAAATCGAATACCTCGGGTAGCCTCTACATCTGCGGATCGGAGGGGGGGGGGGCAGAAAAGAACAAAAGCGTGACCCCGCACTTGAGATTCTCCGCGCGCGCAAGGAGGTAAAAAAGAGAAGGAAGCAGGCGGCGCAAGCCAATCGAGCCCGTCCATTAAGGGGAAGGGAGCGCGAGCCTCGGTAAATAATAGACGCTCAGGCTTCGGTAAACAAAACATCGCGCTGAACGATTTATCAACGCGACCTACTTCCTCGCTTCAGCGTCGAGGAAACAATTAAAGGCGCCGACGATAAGAGCAAAAAAATGAAAAAAAAAAAAACACGATAATATAGTCGGACGCAGTGCAGAGCTAAGAAGCGTAACGAAATCAAGAGATATTGAAGCAGACAGTCGAGAGTTGAGATAGGCAGGGAAGATAGAGAGCGAGAGCGAGAAAGAGAAAGAGAGAGATAATAAAAATTGCAGTAGTGGTAAGTACCTAACAGGGGTATAGCATCGGAGACCTGGGGCAAGGTCTCGGCAACGAGGTTCAGGAACACCGTCAGCGATAGCAAGATGGTCACCCCTGAAAAATATTATTTACGATCGTGTCCTCGCTGGCACACACACATACACACGCGCGCACACACGCACCCGCAATTGGACACAGACGCTACACGAACGTACGCGAGCACGAGAAAACGACGGCGATTCGTGTGCTCGCCCGCGTGGTTGCGTTCACTCGATAGCTAGTCATGCAAAACGCGGCTCCCGTCGCGCGCGCAAACGGACCTTCGTTGCCGAGATCGCGTCGCATTAGTTCGTCACAGCGAGATTACAGTCCGCAGTCTGCGAGTATCCACGATCCAGCAAAGCAAACGCAAACAATCAGAAAGAAGAGACAGAGAGAGAGAGAGAGAGAGAGAGAGTGGGGGTGGAGTGTGCATGCGACGTGTCGCTCAGGCTCGATGCGTAGTCTTTCACGCGAGGGTTTCGCGTGCCACACTCGTGTGGGAAAGTGATCCTCAATCGGTTCAACTCGCAGTGTGAGCATGACAGGAAGATGGCAGGAGAGAAAGAAAGAAATACTGTAGAGAGAGGAGAGCCAAGGAGGGCACTCGTAGGATTGATCGCGGTTCAGTTACACACTAACGATAGGTTATACAATACAGAATCGGACAGAGAGAGAGAGAGAGAGAGAGAATCTTGTGTATATAAATAATAGGTGAGTGGAAGTTAATAAAATGGGATCCAGCTATTCTACTTTGGTGACTATGATATAATATACATGAGATTTCTACTTGTTAGATTTCAGTACGGTTTTTTTATTTTTACGGGGACGTAAAAGTTCGGGAGCTGGGAAAAGGGGGCGGGCGATGGATTGCAGGAATCATTTATTCAACAGTCTACGTAATCGTTATTCATAGAATTTATCGGTTGCTTGATTTAATGGCATTGCAATTTTAGTATTTCTTTGTTTTAAGCCTCAGTGCAACAATAGACGTTTATTTCGATTATATCGTCTGGCCCTCGTGACGAAGGTTCTACCTGGAAAAAGTGTCTGCAGCTCGACGACTCGTTTGTGATTATCGTTCAGAGCCTCTTCTCGTCTTCGTTGCCTACCTTTTTCTTTCCTACGCTCTTATTATTCGTGCTGCACGGTATACACGTAAGACGGAAGGCAGGGCCGGGGGTGGGTAGAGAGGAGGGGACGACATTCGCTCGCTTCGCTGCCGATTAATGCGCGAAAGTGCACGCCGCGCGGAGAATTGAGTTTGCGCGTAATTGACGTGAGGCGAAGTTCGCAAATATTTAGCGAGCAAAGCAGCAGAAACTAAAATCGATGCGCTAAGAGAGAAAGGAAGAGAGAGAGAGAGAGAGAGAGAGAGAAAATGAGAAAGAGAGACAGTCAGATAGTCGCACTAGGTCAGAATTTGAAAAACCGTGAAAGGCTCTTTGACGCGATCCTTCGAAAATTGCACAGCAGGCTTTTAAAGGTATGACAGAGAGAGAGAGAGAGAGAGAGAGAGAGAGAGAGAGCGAGAGAAAGTTTTCCGAGGGAGAAGGACAAAAAGAAGAGATCTCGTCTCCTTCTACTTAGAATATCGGGCGCGCCTCGCTTTTAGCACAATTACCGCCGAATAACCGACTGGCGCTCCGTCAACTGTCAATCTTCCACCGATAATATCGATCAACCTCTAGATCGAGTTATTTGATGTTATGAAGTTTGGCATCAGCTGGCCAAGCGACGCGTCCATTGTGCCGTCGACGCGGCAGCGAACGGAGCGGACGAAATGGAAGCGAGTCGGAGCGGCAATGGCGACGATCAGCTGGCAAGTATGTAAGTGTCGCGCGTATAACGGGGCGGGCGGCGCGCGGCAATAAAACGTGGCAAATTGCGAAGTGGCGCACGGGCAGTCGGCGAGGGCCGATTGTTTCCAATCGGCGCAAAGGAGCGCGGCTAACGGCGAGAGCGCGGCGCGCCCGAGAGACGGCCGAACAAAGGGCCGATTGTCGGCCACCTGTCTGCGCGACCCCGAAAGAACTTGCCTCATTAACGGCCGACCGAGCGCTCGGCGATTCCAGAAGGCCTCTCTCCCCCACGAGCCGTGGATATTAACTCACTCGCTGGCTCTTCAGACCCGCCGACGTAGCGTACCGCCGCTTTTTCTCTCCTTCCACGCTCGTGTTTCTCGCGGCGCCCTCGACTTTTCACGGCCCGCGCGCCTCGTTTATGCGCCGTTGCCAGAGGGACTCGCTATCTCCACTTCTCCGGATAGAAACGGAGCTTCGCGTTGCGTCAGCGGTTTGCGCGTCTTCGTAGGCCGATCAGCGATTCCCGCGGGAAGCGAGGCGACGCGTTCTGTCGTTGCGATTGGCGCTTATCCACGCGGAAAACTCGCGAGAATAACGGGACTGGAAAAAATCTCGCATCTCTCCGTGCTGGTCCGACTAGATGTCATTCTCACGACCGACATAACTGTTTGTTGTTGCTGCCAAGTGGAACAGAAAACTGGAAAACCGGAAAACTGAAGGCTTCGCGTCGAAAATGCCCCATTCCCCGTGGTGCATCAATCAAGCATCGGTCGTCGATAAATCAAGAGCCGACGTACGCGGATCCGGGCGGGAGGGGGGTGGGGATGAGAGGAAAAGCGAATGCTCGGCCGCGCGGCGCATCGCAACTTATTCATTATCAGGGCCGCTGCTCTCTCGATAGCGAATCGCGCGCTCGCTCGTTGCCGCCGGAGCAACGAAGCGAGCGCGTGCAGGGCAGCAGCAAGGCGAGCGAGCCGCACATCGATCGTTGTATTCTACGCACAGCCATATCATTACACACAGAGAGAAAGAGAGAGAGAGAGAGAGAGAGAGAGACAGCAGCAGCAGATCACACACAAAGAGGTAATAAAAAAAAAGCGCGTGGTGAGTGGACTGGATATATACCTATGAGAGGAACGGCGTCCGAGGTCGTCGGCATGCTCTCGGCCACGAGGTTGAGGAAGACCGTGAGCGACAGTAGGATGGTCACCCCTGCGGGCACACAAAACCGAATGGCGAGAGACGCGCTTAATTAAAGCCGCGGCTCGAGTGCCCTACACACCTCGTCGCCGCCGCCGGCGAGGCGCGCGGCTTCTCTACCCTAGGTCAGGGTTACCCGCCTCATTCTCGATCGCGGGCCCCAATTAAGGCCAAAATCTCGCGAGCCAAACCAACGACGACGGAAAAGGACGCGCACCGTCGTCGCTGCGGGCCGTCGATAACTCTACGGCGTCTTCGTCTGGCTATTATCGCGCGCACTCAGCGACGAGTAATAATGCATAAACTAATTCCGTTTGGGAGTTCACCAGCGCGTCGTCGTCCTCGTCGTCGCCGGCTGCGAATTAAAGCAAAGCTCCTCTTCGAGAGGCCCCCTCCTCACCTCCAGCCTGCCCGCATTAGCGTCGAACACGCTATAGGCGAGGACCCCAAAACGAAAGTACGCGAGAGGCTCTTGTTCGTCGCCCCCGGCTGCGTCTGCCACTTTTGCCGTTTACTTCGCTTCGGCATTCTCGTTGCAGAGAGAATGAGAGAGAAAGCGAGAGCGAGAGAGAGAGAGAGAGATGACGGTTAGTTTGGCAAATGGTCCTTTATTGGTTAGCTGTTGATCGTTTAGTATCAGTTTAAGATTGCGAGCAGCATGGGTCGAGAGCCAAATATGTCGGCCCTTTGCCGCTGCTCGTTTTATATGCACAACAGTGTGAGAGGTGACTAGGGGTTGCGAGACTGGTGCTAGTTTTACAAAAGAGTGAAGATGGATAGGTGAGATATCTTCGCAGACGTGTGCGGTAAAGTCGGTGTGCAAGAGAGAAAGAGAGCAAGAGTGGGGGGGGGGGGGGGAGGTGAGACAAAATGCGTCGGTGACTCGACGTTTCAGGCAGGAAAAGTTGTCGTCTTACGAGAGCGCGCTCGCGAGCTGGCCGCCAGGTCGACGTACCTGTGCTCGCGGAACGACGAGCCGCCGCGCGAGGCTAGGCGCAGTGCTTCCGAGAGGCTACCGTGCCCACCGTCGGCCGAATCGCGGCTGGTCGCTCTCGCGCGCTCTCTCGACTCGTACACGTGCACGCGCGGCTGGGAAGGGGCGACCAGGGGGGTGGAGTGGTTCCGGTCGATTCGAGAGGATGCAGCGGGATTTGCTGGAGGCGCGTGTTTCACACACGTCCGCGGACTCCGATTAATCAGATCGGACGAGAGGCTGGAGACGGATAGAGTACAGTCGGGAACGAGGACAGGGACAGCTGTCGAACGTGTGTTTTGCGTGTCGAGATGGACGGGGGCTGCGGAGAAAGAGAGAGTGAGCGAGAGAGAGAGAGAGAGAGAGTGAGAGTGAGTAAGTGATAGGTGACATACGCACACACAGATGACAGAGGTAAACGCGTGTGGATGTACCTGGTGGTTGGCGCGCAAGAGATCGCCGGGTATACGCCGAGAACGACACAAGAGAGTCGGGGGAAGAGAAGAAAGAAGAGCGAGGGAATCGTGTGTGGCGCAGAGGCGCTGGAGAGGCATGCAATGGTCGATTACATTACCTAGGGTGAGCTTCTCGCCGGAGTCCGGTGGCAGGGTGAAGCCGAGCAGCGCCATGCTGGAGATGAGCACGCACGGCACGATCAGGTTGAAGAAGTAGTAGAGCGTGCGCCTGCGTATCTGGATGGTGAAGGTCACGTCGACGTAGGGCTCTGGGCAGCACTGGTACACTATCGTGTTCTTCTTGCCGGGCATGCCTGTCGCAACAGCGGCCACAACATCGTATTAATTTTCGAACTGTCGCCTCGCAAGCGCGGCCTCAACGCACACACCACACTCAAGGTATACACAACGAGCCTCGTCCCGCACGTACGCTCCACAGTTACACGCGCGGATGGCCATCGCCATCGTCGCGCATCATGGTAATCATCCTCGAGAAGCACGCGTGCACAAGCCACCGCGCGCTCTCCGTGGGCGCGGAGGGCGGAGGGGTGGCACGTCTCGCGAGCGCGGGGGCAGTGCGCGTATCGATCGACGGACGCGTGTGCGCGACAAACCGGCCGGAAGCCCGTCTTTCGCTTCTGCTTTTGGCTCCTTTCGCCGGGGGGGCCTAGGAGGGGGACGCAGCGCGTCGCCCTCGCGTGGAATCGCCAAAGCCGAGCCGCGTGCGTCGGTTCTGTCGGTCGGTCGGTCGGTCGTCTTGCGAAAGTCGTCCGAACGGGGCCTCCTCGAGCCCGCGGACGCGCAGAGCGCCGCGCTGTCGTGCGCGAATCCCGTATCAGGGAGGCGAGAAACGAGGTCGAGAGTCGGCCACCCGTCCCCCCGCCGCCGCCACGCCGCCGCGCCGCCGCGCGTGGCAAAGGGAGAGCGACACGGTGCTTGGTGCACTCAACAAAACAGCATCGATAAGTAGACAGATAGACACATGTATATATTGATATTGATATGTAATGGATAGAGTCAGTAAACACAGAGCAACGGCGTCGAGTATACGAGCGATATCGTACTGAGCCAGCCGTTGCTTCGAGCAAGTGCTTTGCTTTTGTTGTTGGACTCACCAATGAGGTACCACTCGCCATTCATGATGAAGTCGGACAGGTCGCCGCCCTCCTCGGAGTTGAGCACCAGATCGAGCTAGAGTGGTAGGCGGGTTGGAGAAAGAGAGAGAGAGAGAGAAACAAACAGAGCAATCGGTCAGTTTCCAGATGCCAGAGAGCCACGCAGACTCATACAGACGCGTCGATCGCTGTATGCGTGTGCGTTCGTAAGAACGTGCCACGGGGGCGTCGAACAGCTGGGCCGAGATGGGGGTGGGTGGGGGAAAGGGGACGGGGGTCGCTACGGTCGCGGACAGCAAGCAGAGCGAAGGCCACGCGGGCGCAGCCAATCGAGCAAGCCAGTCGGGCCGATTGCGCGCCGCGCGGCACTTCGCCGTGGGGTCTAGAAAGCCATGCCCGCTAGCAAGCCTAAGCCTACGACTCTACGCGTGTCCGTGTGGTACCCATGCAGAGAATGCCACATGCGCGCGTGGTCAGCCCTCGACTTTGCCAGGCTGCTTCTTGGCTATGCGTGCGTGCCGTGTTGAGTGTGCACTGTGAGAGAGATGTACATTGGAACGATCATAGCAGTAAGTACGTCGATCCGGCTTTCAACTTCGTATATGATGATGGTGATGCGGATGACTCGCGGTGACGAGTCACTGCCGCGCATTGCGAGAGAGATACAGAGAGAGAAAGAGAGAGAGAGGGAGAGAGAGAGAGAGAGCACCGCGAGCCTTCAACGCCTTCAGCACCACTTTGTTTTTGTCCTTTCAATTGACATCGCTGCGTGCGTATGTATGTATGCGGGTGTGTGTTTCTGATTGCTTAATATACACATCAATTACTGCACAAATATCGCGACGCTCGCGACGACGACGGTTCGTCGGTATATATGTTATTGTGTGGGTATTTCGTATATCTATTTCTTTTGTATTTATCGTCTTTCATTGGCGATATATGGTGTACGGAAGAGGGCCATTCGTATGCCAGCGAGCTGTTGTTACAGCAAAGTTAATAATCGATTTATTATGTCATCATTGATTTTCGTTTCTTTTTAAAAATCCATCATGGTTTTATTGGTGTGCGAAGAGCAGAAGAAAAAAAAAAGGCGACGAAATCACACGTCCGCATTTGTCCTCTAACCCGGAAGCTGGTGTGCGTGTGATAGGTGTCACGTGGAAGAAGTGGAATGTACGAGACGTGGCATGCAGTGGATATGAGAGCAATGAGAAGAGCGAGACAAAGACACTGGAAGAGAAAGAGAATGACATGAGCGGGGATTATGGTCAGGTCTGAACATTCGAATGTGTGACAGAGAGAGAGAGAGAGAGAGAGAGAGAGAGAGAGAGAGAGAGAGAGAGAGAGAGAGAGAGAGACAGGACATCAAATACATATATATATATATATATAACGGGTGGGTATAGCTGGAGAGACTCGTATATCACGTGAGGTGCGACGTCGAGGATGTCGGACAGCGACAATGCGGACGCTTGATTTCGGCACAAAGTAATCAATTTATACTCATCGTATAACATACATGGAATATTTATACGTTTAGACGGACAGGTAATATTGCATATTACGTGGATTAAACTCGATACAAGAACACTGATGTAATAAATTATTGTTCAGTAGACACGTTGTACATAATAATATCGCACATGTAAAACTGAGCAGAGAAAATACACGTGAGTAATATATAAAAACGAGTAATGCATGTACAGTGACATACATATCTATTAGATTGATAACGTTTAACAAATCGAACGTGGTCTTACATGAATGCCCACACTCGGACGCACTGCACATATACTCATTTTAAGGGGAAAAACAGCAACCAAAATGGCATGGAGACCAGCCGCACGACAGCAACAATGATGCAATACATGGCGGTCTCTGGCTTGGCTTATTGTGTCGCAGGTAAGTATAAGCTCAACGGTGCGTCGAGGGGCATGCAAGTAAGAGCGCATCCGACTATACGAGTTTTGGTTTGCGTGGTTCTTTTAAGGGGAATGCACCTGCCTCGCGCACACTCGCGCGACTAACGCCGCGGGGTACAGGCCCTCGGCTCGCGCTCGCGCCCTCGGCCTCGCCCCGCTCTCCGGGTCAGGCCGGGCCCAAGCGGGGCTGCGCGCGCAACAGGTGAAATCGACCAAGGGAGAGAAAGAGCGAGATCGAAGCTGCGGGCGCGCGGCGAGTCGGCCGCCTGCTCTAATAACGATGGCGCTCTGTGCGCAGTGCCGAAGACACACAGCGATAGCGATAGTGCCAGAGAGGAGACGGGAAAGATGTGGGGCTGCAGCAGCTCTTGCACACAGACACAGACACAGACGCTTACACATACAGACGGACATGGAGCTTCCAACATCGACACAGATATAGGGCTGCTTAGGGGCGTGAGAGGTCAAGCTGACGGATGGTCGTGCAACGATCGCGCGCCCTTAGCCTACCTACATGTATATATATACATCGATCTAGTACGTGTGGAGAGAGAAAGAGAGAGTGTGTGTGAGAGTGAGAGGCAGAGATGAAAGCTCTCGCGGAGTGTAGGCGAGGCAAGTGCGAGCCAGATGCAGCTCGGCCTTTGGCAAGGCCGAGCTCGGCATAGCTCAGCGAGTACTCGTTCGCCGCCGAGCTTCGTCCTTCCGCCCGATTTCCGTGCCGATTTCGCGTTGTCGGCGGCGAGGCGCCGCTTCGGGAACCTCCGGGTCGACGGATCGCTTGCGAAACGACAAAAACAGAGTCAGAGAGAGTCTGTTCTGAGAGCAGGCGTGTATACACCTGCCGCAGACGCGCGTAACAGAGTTAGAGAGAGAGAGAGAGATGCAGCAGCGTCTCAAGGCGTGCGAGCGGGAGATTCCTCAAACGGGCGCACAGACGCGGAAATTCCATATTCGCGCGAGAGGCGGTCGTCGGCGGGGGGAGGGTAGACGCAGGAGGGGGTTCGCGGCGGAACCGCGCCGTTGGCCGATCCCCGTCCTGCTCACCTCGCACCCGGCCGAGCGCTGCGCTCGCGGGGCGGACGGAGCGATTCGGGCGCGACAACTCTGCGTCACGCGAAGCGGACGTGCGAGGGGATGACAAAACAGAGCAAACAAAACAAAGGGGAGGGGGGGGGGGTATAAATGAACGAGATTCCAACGGCGAACCGAAGGAGGGATAAAGGATGCCGAGAGTTTTTGTGTTCGTTTTGCCGGAGTGTCCGCAAGAGCTGAGGCGCCCGGCTCGATGAGAACGCAGCTCTGAACAGCAAAATAAAAAGCGGCGTCAGAGTTCTCGCTTGTGGCTGGCATGGAAGCGCCGCTCAGCTGTCGACTCCACGCCGTTGTTCGGGTAGGAGTCGCTGGAAGGAGAGAGATAGATAGATAGATAGACAGAGAGAGAGGGGAGTATAGTTTTGTTCTCTTCGTTTTCGCCTCTTCCGAGAGGGATTTTTGCCCGAATCTCGCGGGGAACAAGCAAATCCGAGGGAAAAAGCTTGAGATATGCGTGAATATATATATATCTATTTATCGTGATTGATCAGCGAAAGAAAGCAATTTTTGTATTCCTCGGCGAAGGGAACAGACGCGCAAGTAGGCGCGCAAACCTGCGAGATTCAACAGATTCGTGCGTACGGCGGATTGATTGATTTGCTTCGCTGAACTTGCCGACAACGAAGTCTCGATCACGCGTACTCTGGACAAATTGAAGTTTTTTTTTCGTTGCCTCGCTTCGGATTTGACAGATAGGAAGACCTTTGGAAAGATGGCGCGTATGAAGGACTCTGTACTTTTGACTTTGTTTATCTATTAGGGAACTATGCGAACACTGACCGTTCATATTGTTCAAGACACACGTACAACTCCTGCAAAAATTGCAAATGCTTCTATGTCATAATATTTCTATTCTAATATAATGAGCACGTCGACACACACATCAAAAAGTTGAAGCTTGCACATCGTTTTTCAAAGCTTTAATATTTGTCATTTTAATGCACTATCTCTAATGATTTATTGATTGCATTTAAAAAATTGAATATATATATATAAATATGTATATATTAATATCAAAAAGCAAAAAGTGCTCGCAGCATTGACGAATTATATATTCCTTACAAATATAAGTTGCCATGCACAAAAAAATGGTAGACTTGTTAGTAAGGTGGCGCTGTAATCCCTTTGGTAAGAAAAAGAGCTCCGAGCGAAAATTCGATTCGAATCAAGTAGACAAAAGGGGGGGGGGGGGTACATAAGGTAGGTGGTATCATCGCAAAAGCAGCGAGAAAAAACTTTCAATTCGCCATAGTAAAAAAGGCATTTCTGCACAAAGCGCAAACCAAACGAGCGAGCGAGAGGGTGCGACGAGAGAGAAAGAAAAAGAGAGAGAGAGAAAGTAAGTGAGAGGGAGAGAGAGAGAGAGAAAGAGAGAGAGAGAGAGAGAGAGAGAGTGAACCAACTTTTCACTCGGCTGGAAGCTTAGCAGGCGAAGAGAAAAATACGGACGACTCCTCTTTACATCTCCACTCGGAAATCCGGTGCTCCGCCACGAGGGAATCGAAGGATATATTTGTTTCTTCGAGTTCTTTTTGCCTCGCGCGAAATAAGCGAGCGCACGCGGCGATCGTCCCCGGCATTTCTCGTATAATCGCGGATTGTCAGATTTGTAGGAGCAGATGGAGAGAATTGAACGGAGCGAAAGAGAGAGAGAGAGAGAGAGGCAGGATGAAAATCTCGCGGAGTCGACAGTAGAGTGACGTTGGACATGTGCTCCATGCAAAATCGTGGTTCCGAGCTCAGACATAATCACGTGGTCCCTGCTTTGACTGCGTTTTTTATAGATCTTTTCCATCGTCGGCATTCCTTTTAGAATCGAGGCAGAGAGAGAGAGAGAGAGAGAGAGAGAGAGAGAGAGAGTGTGAGGGGGGGAGGTACTGTTAGAAGTCATGTGTCACAGTGAGGAGTGAGAGAGAAGAGAGAGAAAGAGAGAAGTGTCGCGTCGCGCGTATAATGTGTGAGAGAAAAAAAGAAGCTCTGCAATAAGCTTGACGTGTGTCACAGTCGTTCGCTCGGTGCTGCGTGTGATATCCCCCAGCGTGGGAGGACAAGAGTAAAGAGAGAAAGAGAGAGAGAGAGAGGGGCTGTGTTTTGTCGTGTCGGAGAGAGAGAGAGAGAGAGAGAGAACAGACAGAGGTAGAGAGATAGAGAGTATTGCTGGTAGTGTATACCTGGTTGCCGTCGTAGGTCCAGGATCCGAACTTCATTTCGCAGTGTTGGTCGTCAAAGGGGAACCAAGCGATGTCTATCTTGCATGTGCTCTTGAAGATGCCCGGAGGGACGTACAGGCAACTGCCGTTATGCGTGACCACCACGTTTGTTTGGAACGTCCCGTCGAAACCCTCCTCCGCACTACACGGGATGTATTTTGTCATCAAACATCTTTTTTGCAATGCTCCTTATCTTTCATCATTATTTATCGCTTTTGCTTTCTTTTTTCGCTCGTTTAACCTCGATATACAAACAACATACAACAGCTCGTTATGCGCAAGTTTAGTTCTCGTTTGGCTTTGCGTTCCTCGTTTACTTTTTTACCGCGCAACGAATCCCTTACATGGCTATAGATATAGACAGTAAATGAGATCAGTAAAAATGCTGGACGGCACAGTTAAGACAGAGAAAGAGAGAAAGAGAAAGAGAGAGAGAGAGAAAGAAAAATAATAAGAAAAACAGGTGTCGTTCTCTCAGCGCAGTTTGAGCCTTTTTAGATGAGCATTTAGATGAGCATGGTTATTTATCATTATTTGGTTTTTTCTTTTATTTATTTAGTTTTTTTTTTTTTTTTTTTGCGCTCGCGCACGTCCTTTTTTTTACGACGCGTCGGGATGCAGCCAGACACACCGGCGCGTTATCGCTATACGCGCCGCTTCGATTAAACATAGCGCGCGCCGGATTTTTCGCCGTCCCCGTTTCCCAAAGCCTGCCCTCGGGGACTACAGCCACTCGTTTCTCCTTTTCTTTTTTTTTCTTTTTTTTTTTTTTATCCTTCTTTCGCTTCTCTCTGCTCTAGATTTCGCGCGCGCCCAATGAGACACTGATTAATCGGACGCCCCTCTAGTTTTCCTTATTTTCGCCAAGCGGAAATTCATGCGGATGTTAATGCCCCGTAAAAAGTTAAATGAATTGCGCGCTGATAGCGCAGTTTAAAGTTCGTTTTATTCCCGAGTTTTGGCGGGGGAGAGAGAGATGCTGAGCGATAAGTAACGAATACTCGCTCGCTCTCGCTCTCTTTGCTGTATTTCGGATGGAAATTCAAGATTCGTGGGCGTACTCTGCGAGTGTAGCTTCTGTATCGATTATCGATACAGCCTGCAGCTCATCGATTGCATCTGCGTTATAAATATATGTAACGCGCTGTTTACTCGATATTACTTCAATTTTATCGATACGGACGACGACAAAACGGATATTACTAAATATTTCAAATTGTGTTCCCGATTCGAAGTTCGTTTCAGTTGATTAAAAAAAAAAGAAAAGAAAAAAAACAAACAAATAAACAAAAAACACGAAATTTCACGGACCGGGAAACTCTTGACGTCTCGATTGAAAAGAATTAAAAAAGTAGGCTGCTTGTCCTAGGGAGAGCAAAAGTTGGGCGAGGATAATTTGAAAAGCACGGAAAACCGCTCGGCTAGTTAATTACGCTCTTGAGCCTCATTGACGCGAAAAAATTCCTGGAACGTCTGGCGGCGTTTGCGCGGGCCACTCCATCAAGTGGCGCCGCGCGCTCAAAGGAACAGCATTCCAGAAGCTCGAGAAGGTGCCCCGCGGGAAACAATGGCGCGTCGTCACTGCGTATTCGGAGCTGCGAACTAGCTGCGAAAGCCGAAGCCGCCGCTACGCCCTCGCCGTCGTCGTCGGCGTCGGCGGCAGTCGCGTTTTTCGCGCGGGCTGTACAAAGCTCAGCCAGCCGTTCATCCGAGTTTCGTGGACTTGCCAATTAATTCACTTTGGCCTCGGCTGCCGCGCAGCCCCGAGCAAATGTTGACTCTCGCCGCTCGCGAAATCCCATTCGCGCGCGCGCGCTGTTTCCATTAGCCGGCGAGGCGCGCGCACCTCGACTGCGGTCCGCGGTGGAAAAAAGCGGGGGGCGGTAAGGGGGTGGGGGGCAGGCACGAAGAGCGAGCAACAAGTACGCCGCGCGCGCGAAAGAAGCAGGCCGCGACGACGTGGGGTCGAAAGAGGCGAGCGCCGAGCGGCTCATTCGAGTTGCGGCGGCCCTTCGATCGCGGAACTAATCGCTGCGGGGAGAGTCTCGTTCGGGCGCGCGTGGCTGCCTCCCTTCGGCGTCGTCTCCGTCATCGCTCCGTGTCGGTGTGAGGGCTGAGTGTGAGTGACGGCAGCCGCGAGCGAGAGAGGGATCGCGCGCATCTGTTCGTCGTCGGCAAAGTTTCTCGACGAGAAACGCCTTCTTCCGTTCATCCGCCGCTGCGTAGACTCGGCCACCCACGGCAGTAGTCTAGTCAGGCACTTGGCTAACGGTTAAAGAGAGAGAGATGGAGAGAGAGGCTCTCACGGCTTACGCAACTTGTCCATAATTAACGCCGCGATTGGTCGGACGCCGTTGCAGCTGGTCGCGCTCTCGCGACCTCGAGAGTCGAAGAGAAGCGACGGTCGGAGCAAGGCCTAAGGCACGGCCCGAGGGGCGATCGAGAGAGTGCGCACGATTTTCGCGAGGCCTCTTCGCGGAGCTGCAACGTGACCGCGGTCGGCTTCGACGTTCGCCTCGCGCGCGCGCGCGCGCGTTCCCTCTGGAGCGTTCTCGCTCTGCGTAAGACTGCGTCGTGCAACGCTGCGCTCTCCTGGCGCGCACGGCGCCGGTGCTTTCGTTATATTTCAATTAACTTGCGTTTACTTTTAATCCACGTTCAGGCTGTTCTTTTAACTTGAGCATTTAGTGAGGTTTAGCAGTGCGTTAATCATTGGGCGAGACGTCGGTGTCTTAGCCGTCGGTGCATTGCATCGATATTTAGTCGTTACAAGATTTAGCTACTCGGCGTTTAGAAGTCGAACGAGTCTGGCGGCACAGGGTTTCACACTCCGACCGTGCCACGAATACCCGCTCCTATCCCTGGTATGTGGTGAGAAACAGAAGAAAAAAGAGGCGATGGGGGGAATGGTGGATACAAGGCGGGGGGGGGGGGGGTCGAACGCGAGCTGGCAGAAGCGCGGCGGCAGCCAGCAGTCACGGCCTTCGCATCGATCGAAGGGAAGGCCGCGCCAGGGCTGGCAGCATCCGCCGCGCGACGACCTGAAAGCAGAGATTAGTTCTGAAAGAGAGCTAGATGAGAGGAGGGCAGTGTGTAGGACAAAGTAAAAAACGACGTAGTGAAGTGTGTGCTGTACGAGAGGCTCGTTGTGTCGAGATGGAGCGGGCACCTAGCCTCGGTCCTGCGGTGGCACGCAGTAACGGGGTGGCCTGACGTCGTCTGTTTTTTTTTTTTTTTGTTCTTTTTTCTTTTGTTATATGAGTTTTTGGTATTTAGAGTGGTGCAAGTTATGAGGCGGCGCTCGCGGCCGTGGAGTCACGGTGATCACGATCTGGCCGTAAATCGGGTGTGGTGCACGTACCCGAAGAAAGAGGGCGAAGGTGGAGGTGTGCGAGGAAAAATGTCACGGCCGAGCGTACGTCGAGTCGTATCACTGGGCACGTGTAACAGGTGCACTCTGGCACGCGACCAGCGGCAGCTCTCTTTTAGACCCTTGTGGTAGATACGACGATTACGTGACTCCACCGCCGTTCGGCCCCGGCAAAATGGTTAAATGTATATATCATCTAAGAGCATAAATGATGCCCTTTGCTGTTTTAATGCTTTCGTACTGTCAATTAAGTCATATCAACTACTTAATGCACGAGAGAGAAAGAAAGAGAGGGAGAGAGACAGAGTCGTACAAAGAGATAATGTAGACAGGAATGATATGTAATTATCAACAAACTACGCATTTTGAGAGCGAGGGTGGTTGGAAAATCAACGAGCGTGGTGAGAGAATGTAGAAATAGACGATATTCCATTGTACAATATAACTTACAGTCTAAAGCGCTTTCAAATGTATTTATATATCACTTAATGCTAATGGTTTCGCGAGCGGCAGCGACGGCGGCGGCGGCGCCGACGCGAATATAAGCCCGCGATGTATTTATCTTGCGGGGGGGGGGGGGATCTGGTGGCGAGACATGATGGATGGCGGGATGGAAACAATGAAGGTGAGGGGCGGCCGTGCGTGGCACGCGCGCTCGCGCCGCTGCTGGCGCTGCCGCTGCCGAGTCGAGTGACAAAGATCAAATGTCCCTCGAAGGAGAAAGGAAGATAGGGAAAGAGAGAGAGAGAGAGAGAGAGAGAGAGAGAGAGAGGAAGTCACTTGTTTGGCTTGAGTCGTTCGCATGCGCAACGCTCTCTACGGTGTGTACATTGAGCGACTTCGCTTCAGCCTTAGCCAAGTAAGTTTTGGTTTTGGGAAGTGATAGAGTGAGGGGGGAGACAGAGGCTGGGATAGCAAGAGCGAGAGAGAGGTTGAAAGGAGGCAGAGAGAGAGAGAGAGTCTACTCTTGGGACGTCATTATCACTATATGCATCTTACAGGGTATAATTACTTATTTACAGCCAGAGAGTAAGAGTCAAAGTTACTTAGAATATGTATATATATAATATGGCGTAACCATGTCGTTCCAGGTTTAAGTAAGACACATGTATACATATATATATATATTTGCAATAAAATATATACGTATAGTACATATGCATAGGTAAAGATACAGAAAGAAGAGGAGAATTCAACTTGTCTAGCATGGAGCGAATCAAGTATATGTATAAGAGTATATATAAGTGGCATGCAGATAATATATGTTCGGTATCTTTTTTGGCATATATATATTTTATATATAATCGAGATAAAGATGTATATATATAATACTTCAGTTACAAATGCGAGAAAGCAGCAACATTATTACGTACCCCCGCAATTCAAACGTATGAACTCTCGTAAAATATCATTAGCAGAGAAATCGCTAGTCAGATATACACAGGAGACAGAGGACGGAGAAAAAAATGATACTCAAAAGCCAGAAATCTTGGGAGAAAGAGAAAGAGATAGAGAGCAGCTTGTCCCTGTACAGGGTGTTATTGTTACGAAGAAGAAGGGGTAAGGTTGGGAGCGGGAGGGCAGAGAAAGAGATAGAAATAGAAAAGGGAGTTTAGAGGCGAGAGTAATGTTAGCAGTAGTAGTCTAGAGGGAGGATAGATTTTCTTGGCGCAGCGGCGCAGTAGACAGGCCATGGCGTAGCGTCGTGTCCTGAAACAGTCTAAAACCTTTGAGAGCGGCAGCAACACCTCCGCGCGCACTACCTGCGTGCCGCACGTGTCGGCCGTACGTTTCGTCAGCCTTTTCGCCGTCTTGCCTCTTCTTTTTTTGCCTCTGCCTTTTCCCCGTCGCAAGACGGCAGAGAAGGGACGCTGCACGCGGCACGTAGTCGTTGCCGAAAGCTCGCGCGCAGCAACACACATTCACAAGAGAGACGGAAAGAGAGAGAAAGAGAGAGAGAGAGAGAGAGAGAGAGGAGATAGAGTGAGAGAAAGAGAGACGGGAGCGAATGGCATTACCTGTTGTACATCAGCACGTCCGGCTTCCACAGCTTGCTTGGCGTTATCCGCAAATCCTTCACGCCACCGTACTCCGACTCGTTCCACTGGAGGTTGTAGTCGGTCCATTCCTTCGACATTAAACAACAACGTTTTCAATTCAGTGACTTGTCCTCTCTCCGTGAGAGTCCCCTCGCGGGCTCGCTCCCCGTTCTGCTTTTTCTGTTCTTCTTTCATTTTTGTTTTTGTTTTCGTCGAGTGGCTGCCGCCTGCAACCTCGCGCTCCGCAGAAAGTTCATTACCTCGACTACTCGAGGCCGCTAATTATCTCTAATCTCGACTAATTCTGTACGTGAGATCTCATTTTGTCCCACTTGCAAGCTCTAATTCCGCGGCCGCCGTGAGGCGGTTTTTCCGGCATCGATCTCATTAATTACGGCGCGCACCACTTTGCGCATTGTGCCCCACCTCGACGAGAAGCCAACTTTCTGGCGTTCCCCGCCATCGAGAGGTGCGCGAAACGCAACGCATCAAACAAGTATGTCCCGCTTGCCGCGATACGCGAACGCTTTGAATAAACGAGCGTGGATTGCGGCCGAGCGCGCGCCGCCTGCCGCTGCAACCCAATGCAGCAGATCGGGCGGAAAGGAAGCAGAGCGAGAAATGCAAACAAGAGCCGAGCTCCGGAGATATTTGCTAATAACGTTAATGAACTCGCAGCGCGAGAGAATGAGAAAGAGGGCATCAAACGGAGAGCGATGAACGTAGACAAAATCTGGAACATGCAGGAGGCTCTTCCCCGCCTGTCCTTTACTTCTGTTGAAGTGCGAAGACGCGCAGAAGTTGAAGTGTCGAGCAAACATTTGGCGGCAGCGAGCGCGTTAATGAGGAAAAACCAGTTGTGCTCGCGGCGATTTTTGGGTATGCGCGCCGCACGAAGGTCGAGAATGCCCGCCAAGGTTGGCGTCCGACGCGCGCGTACAGGTCGGCCGGACGGGGGAGGGCGCCTCGTCGTTGATTAGACGCGCGAGGAATGCGGCGCTCGCAGCCCCCAAAAATTGCGGACGCGCCGCGCTCACCCATCCCCCCGACGAATTCCCGCGAGGCTTAATGATATGCCGGCTATGCCGGCTTCCTATCCCCCCCCCCTCTCGGCTATTGACGGCGACGGTACTAATGCAGAGCGGCATTACGAACGCCGCCGAATTTAGACGGCACGCGCACGCTACCTCGAATTCTCCGTCTGTTTTGTGTCTGATTGATGGGATGTTGGGCCCGCGCCGTCGTATCGTCGCTGTCGACACGTCGTTGAGGCGGAAAAAAATCGAGGGGGACGTTTTCAGCGAGCGTCGGCCTCGTTCAAGCGGAACGACTCGCGGCACGAGCCACGAAACGCGTCGGCAAGATTCGGCAAAGTAGGTTACTCGTATTTGCGGTCTGCACTCGCGTGGCGCGGAGAGGAGGGGGAGTGGGAGTCGGGAGCCGCCCGACGTCGAGGAGCGAGGAGACAAGTCGAGGCGCCGCGAGCAAGTCGACGTCGGAGTTACGATCGGACCGCGCGCTGCCGCTTGGACGATTACGGGCTACTCGAGTCTCGCGTTTGAACGGGAGCCAAGCGGTCGGTTGTTTGTTTTTCCGCCGGCGAGGGCTGCCTCCCCAGCCCCCGATCCTCGGTGTGTAAACGCGAAGCAAAGTGCGCCCGGCGGCGCGCAAAGCCTCTCTCGGCGCATAAACGAAACGAGTGATTCCGCGCCGACGTCGCGCGTTTCCAGCGCGTACGCCAGCGGGGGAGGGGGCCTTCGTAATCGACGGCCACAATCTCCGTCTCCCGCCACGTCCGATAACCTCTAATCAGCCCGACTAACCGGCCCAATAATTTCCCAATTTGCGCGCGAACCCCTCGACGGATATACTCGGCGGCGGCGAAAGTGCTCGTACGGGAGGAAAGGTTGTTGACTGAAGAGGATTCGGCGCCAGCTCGCGCGGCTAATGAGGCCACTTTTTCACCATTCTTTCCTCCCTTTCCGTTTTCTTTTTGTTTTCTGTTCTTTTTTGCTCTCTCGTTTTTCTCTTCGCGGGAGCTTAACGCTGGTAATTGATCTGGCTTTTATATTCTCTCAAGAGCAATTTCATCGAAGTTCATCAGGCTAAAAGCTCCTTTTCATTCTTAACCCCCACTCGTAAATATTGATAACTCGCGCGGTAGGGCTTGCATTCGGATGTCGGCAGGCGCACAATGGATTCTTTTGGTTTGAAAAACGAGAAGGGGACTTGGCAGATCTCACTTCATAAACGTTATTCGGGAAGCTCCATTCGGCTCGGCATCTTATTACGCGCTGAACATGTGATTTCAAGCACATTGAATTTCTATCCACGAGGGGAAGTTGGGCCGAGCGATCGCGCTCAATGAAAATGCTAAAATCCATGCGCGGCGGAGATGCATTTGACTCGCTCAATATTCAAATCCCCTCCACGACGTAAACTTCTCAGCCGCACTGCTATTTTTACATACATTGAGATTCCCTTGCCTCGTCAAAGTCATATCGTCTGAGGCAATTAAAAGCGGAAGCCCGTTACTGGCGTAGAAATTTCATTTCGGTGCGACAATAAAACTCCGCAAGAGAGAGAGAGAGATTAAGAGAGAGAGATCAAAGTCAAACTAGGCGAAAGACACGAGCCGAGCGAGCAACGGGGCGGCGCCGGAAGTTTCTCATTAGCATTAATTGCTGGCGCAGAGCCGGCCGCCGATCGTCGGGGTGAGAGAGTCGTGTCGCGCGATTTGACGAGCTCATGAATACGCGACTGCGCGCGCGACCGCGAAGAAGCGCGTTACGAATTGGCAACGGGGCGCGGATTACGCCGATTCGACGAGCAGGGATTGTCGGGCGATTAGCCGGGGGGGGGGGGGGGCTCTCTCTCGCCTACCTGCACCCACCCGCTAATTACGCCCGACGAATTTTCGCATGGGCGTCGAACACACTGATTTCGCCTTTTTTTTCGCGCGACGTGGAAAGAAGATTATGCTAATCTATTCATGAAGCAATTTCATTGTAGATTTTTATGGGTCAAAAGGCCAGCAGCACCGCTCGCGCTACAAAGAGACTCGTCACTGCAAGAGTAAACACTCGAGGGCTTTCGTGCTCCCGTGTTGCGCGCGAGCGTAAAAACGACAAAAAAGAGAAAGAGAGAGGGGCGGGGAGGGAGAGCTGGGGACACCCGTCGTATTCTTTGAGCGTTAGTTTTCCTCGAAGGGAAAAAATGAAAATCGCGTTACGGCAAATAATAAGCCCATCTCTGGATGGGGAAAGAGCCGCGACAAGACATCAAAGTACGCTATCTCGTCGCGCGAAAATGCCACGGCCTACGCAAGGCGGGCCGCTCCCTCCACTCGGCGCGGCTGGATAGCATTAATCTGCTCTCGAGAGATGGATACTTCCCGCTCAGTCCGCGCTGACTGCTGCGATCGACGACGGCAAAACGAAAGAGAAGAAAAAACGAAGAGAAGCAGAAGCAGCAGGTAAGCACTCTCCTGCGGTCGGAAATTGCGGAAGTGCATTAAAGCCCGGCGCGGCGGACTCCAGCTCCCGCGTCTACGTGCGCGCGCTCGAGCTTTTCTTTTTCGGAACGGGCGAAAAAGAAATTGCCGCATTAGCGTTAATTGCGGCCTTGCGCAGAAAGCCCGGGGCTCGCGGACCACCGGCTCGCCTCTAATTGCGGGGGGGAAGGGCCATCCGTCATGTCCGCGCAAGACAGGCGGGATCCGATCGAGGCTCGCGCCGCTCGTCGCGCGAGAAGCGCGGCGCCGACGACGACACGCGCGACACGGCCGGCCGGAGAACGAGAGCCGACGCGACTCGATTGCCAGCCCGAGTCCCGCGGGCATCGCGCGTATTTCACGGCCGACCAGGCGCCGACGAGAGAGATTTCTCGACGCTTCGTGATCTCGCGTGCCACGAGGCGCGGCTGGTCGGCGAACTTATCGGGCTCCCTCCGCCGCGATTATCGTTGCGCCGCTGAATTTTCGCGGCTTGTTTTTTCTCCTCCCGCTCGTTCTTTTTCCTCGGCGCGTCGGCGAGCGGAAAAACAGCTCGCGCTCCGCAGCTCGCGAAAAGGACGGGAAAACAAACGTCGAGCGCTCCCGCGCGGCATTATGCTCTCGAACGCGCGCAACACATTCGCGAATGGATAAATCCGTGCAAACGCGAGACTGCGTATCGGGCGCAGAGCCGTTGGGTAAACCCGCGCGCGCGCTTAAATCTCGTGCCTGGCTGTTTGCGCTGGCAATAATATCCAGCGTCGCGCGTAACTGCTCTCGCTCGTAACGACGAGCTACGGCCGATTAAAACCGTAGCGGCGCGGCGAAAAAAGGGGCGAGGAAGGGGCAACTCTGCCGGAATCAGGAGCGTCCCGCCGGATATCGACCAATCGGAAGTCGATTAGCGCAGAGCTCCCGGGCTCGATGCTCGAAAAAGGGCTCTATACACGGCAGCGACGGAATTAAGAATCCGAGCGGCGCTGTCTCTTCGCGCGCGGGCCGAACCTGTTGCAGCTCTTGGCCCGGTCTCCGGCTTTAATTGTCCGTCCCGCCGGCAGTTCGATCTCGTTGACTGCGCCCCCCCCCCCCGCCCCCCGCAGCAGTCGTCGCTTCGACGAGCGGACGCCCCGACCTCGTTCGGCCGCTCGCGCGCCGCGCGGACCGACTCCGCTTAATTAGCTTTCGGATTTCGACTAATTATACGCTCCGGTTGCTCGCTCATTCACCGAGCGCGTCATCCTTTATTTGCATAATGGATTTTCGGCTACGCTCGCGCTCCCGTCCGCATACGCGTACGCGCGTGCGCGCGCGCGCCGGCTCCTCTTTTTCGGCCGCGCGGCGGAATTAATCGTCGTCGGCCGCGTGCTCGCGCGAGCGCCAAAGGCAATTGTAACCGAAGCGCGCGGCTCTCTGCCGCCCCCTCGGAACGCACGGCGCCCGGTCGTCGCTTCGCGCGCGAGCGACCCAAGCGTAGCCGTCAAGGGAGACAGCGAACGTCCGAGCGACGGAGGACGGCCCATTAATAAAAAGAAAGCGGTCTAGGCAGCGGATCGAAGCAGCTTGCGTCGGCCGAGGTCGGCGCGCTCCCTCGGATGGCTATAAATGTGCCCCCCGCCCAGCGATTGATCGGCGCCCCGTCGACGGAAATAGCGAGAGAGAGAGAGAGAGAGAGAGAGAGAACGACGCGGGCCAATCTTCGCCTCGCGCCGCTTATCGCGACGCGGCCAGATATGCAATATCGCAGGCGGGCTCGAGTGGCCCTCGCAGGCCCGCGAGGGAGGTAGAATCGTCGGTTGGCTGGCGCAGGGCTGCGCGAAAGTCGAGTGGCTTTCGTTGCTCGCGCGATCCTCGCCGCCGACGGATTAGTCGCGTCGGCGACGATCGATTGGCTCGCCGCTGCCGTCGCGTCGGCCGGCTCGCGCCACTGCAACAACCCCGCGGCGTCCCCGTGAATTTTCAAGCCACCGGGCGCTCGCCCGAGCCAGCGACGAGTCTCGCCAAGTCCGAACGCTGCTCGGCGCCTTCGTTGTCGGAGCGATTTCACGTATGCGCGAATCAACCCACCGGAACAAAAACAAACTTGCCGCACGGTTTATCCGCGCCGATGCGTCTACGTTGCTGCCCCCAGGATCGACCATAGCTTTTGCCGATTCCCTCTGTCTCGCTTAACGATCGTTGCACTCTCGAGCGGGGCGTGCAAAAAGTGAAGCGGCACGAGAGCCGCGCTCAGGCCGTCGCGCAACTAATTTCGAAAGTAAACCCGCCGGGGTGAAATATCATCGGAGCTAGGCGGAAGCCTAATCTCGTCCGCGCCGACGGCGGCGTCTCCGTCGCGCTCCGCTGGATTCGGCGAGCTCCTCTCTCCGTCGACGTTATCGCTGAATTGGCGGCCGCATCTCCCTCGTTCGTTATTTTTCTCGTCCTCGGCGAGGGGGGGCCTCGCTATCGATTGGCCGCAAACGCTCTGTTTGCCACTTCGCGCGGCGAGCGGATTTCACTTGCAAAAGTCGGCGGTCGTTAGCGGGGAAACCAGGTCAGCGTGGCTCGGCGACGCCAAACACACCGCGGGCTGATATTTTCTTCGGGCGGCGCAGCGCCCCGATGTGGGCTCGTTCGAGATACGCCGGCGCGCCGCGGACCGCGACTACATGCGCGCGAATCGCTCGCGAGTGCATAAAATATCGCTGTCCGCCTCGGCCAAAAAGAAATCCCGGCATTAACGGCTCGAAATACCTCGCGCTCAAGCCGCTCATTTATCAAAGCGCGCTACTTCTGCGAAGATGAGTTATTCGATATTTCGAGCGCGCTCCGCGCAGAGAGACGGAGGGCGAGAGAGAAAAGTAGGATCTGGCGTATTTCCATACGCGCGCCACTTCTGCGAGCTACGCGGAGAGAGAATTTATCTCGGAAAAGGCAGAGAGTGGCCCTTGCCCTCGAGATACACCGGGCGGTCGAGTCGAGCGATAAATTGCGTAGAAAAGTCTCGTGGATACTCACCAGCTTGAGCCAGGCGTTCGTTGTAAGTATCTGATTCTTCTCGTCCTGAAAGCCAACAAACAAGAGCGTCAATCAATAAGCCCTCCTCGGCGGCGGCGCAAAGTTAAATCCGAAAAACAAGCTCGCGCGCGGGAGGAACGTAGGGGCGCGGCCGGGGAAGGGCGGGCGAGACCGACTCGACATTTATTTAAGGGAAAGTTGCCGAGGCAAGAAACTTGCCCCGAGCCCGACCCGAGCCCGAGAGATAAGTAGTTGGCGCAAGAACTTGCTAAGCGTCCTCCACTCCTCGCTGGCGACGGCGCACGTGTGGAAGATTAAGCGCTCGGACACGCTCTGGATATATACTCGCAGCGGGCAATTTTCCAATTAATAACGGTTCGCCCCCACGCATCCCCTATCCTTCTCCGGCCTTTCGCCGCGATCCGTCTCGACCTGATTTCTCGACTCGCTGAACGCGCGCTTGGCCGATCGGATTGCCGACTGCGTCGATCGCCTTTGATCGCCCGCGACGGCAATCTCGGCGGCGCCGCTGCATTGTCGGCCGTCGCAGCTCCGGGGCTCTCCTCCTCGGCGGCTCTCGCGCGAAATGCTCGTCGGCCGCCGAAACTTTCCGCCGCGCCCGACCCAACCCAACCCGAACCCCGCGCGCCCCGACAGCCAAGTTTCCGCGGGCCAGGCCGAATTTTACGAGCTCCGCCTTGCGGAATGAGAGAGCGATGAGCGCGAGTTCGCGCTGAGACATCGAAACGAAGCTCGAGTGGAAACTTTCCTCCTGCGTTTCTTTTTTCTTCGCTCCTCGGTTTTCGAGGTAACCAACATCCGAGCCGCGCTCGCGGGTTCGCTCTCGAACGAAAACAAAGGGCGCCTCGGAAAAGATTCCATTGAAAGTTTTCCCCTTGACTCTAATGAAATTCAGGTTTGCGCGCGGCGTGCAAAGTGACTAACAGCTGATTCGCCCGACCGAGAATCGAAGGGAGAGGGGACTCCAGGCACAATGGCGTGGCCCTCCAGTGACGAGCAGCACGCCCCGGCAAGAGAAATAATTCCGCTCGGCACAGGAAATTAGTTTTTGCGTCGGCGGGAGCCGCCGGCGCTCATTATGCTCGGGCTCGCGTTATTGCCGAGTCGAGCCGGCCGAATCCTGGAGAGGCAGCTCTCAACGGCTGGCGCGCGGGCGTTAATATCAGCGGCAAGGTCGCCCGGTGGTTTTTCCGAATTAAAGTTCGATTAGAAGCGCGAAAGTTCCGAGGCGGGGGACGCGCGCGCGTCTCTGTCTCTCTCGGGCGGCGCGCGAGACTCTTGAATATTCCGCCGAGAGCTCAAACGTCCCGAAAGTTTGATGGCGTTCGGCCGAGGAGGCGAGTTTTTCCAACTCGTTTGCCGCGATAAGCGAGTGATTCCGCACTCGCGGGATACATTCTTCGATACTCGCGGAGGAGGAGGGGAGACCGCCAGATTAAACTATAAATTACTCGTCCCCTCCCGGGACGATAAGCGATATTGGTGAGTGGGGCGGGCGAACGAAATTTCGTCGCGGAGTTTGAAATCGTAAAGTCCCGCGCGGTTAATCGTTGGAGCGAGATAATTAGAATTTGAAAATTAATGTCGCGGCGTATTCTTCTTTGTCGTGGCACATTCTTATAATTGGGACACCTCTTCTTCGTCTCTCTTTTTACTTCCGGACTCGCGTCTAGCAAAAATTCACCGGTCCGTCCGTCTTGGCGTTATCCGCTCGGTAATATAGAGCCGCGTCTTATCGTCGGCGACAATGAAATTTTCTTCGATCGAGATCCGCGCCCGCCTCGAGTGAGTCGTCTTATCTGCATGAAATTGAACCACGAATGACGACCCACCTTCCCCCTTCGCCCTTTTTTCTTTTTACGGTCTAATTACGGAACTTTGGGATTCGTCGGGCGCAGCGTAGGTTCCGACTATATTCATGAGGCGCGCGAGCTCCGCATAGATTATTATCTATAATCTATCGAGCTGAGCTCGCGTTTTACCATATGAAAAGCAGCCGCTCGAAGCGCAAAAGTCTGCAGTTTCAGTGTTAGCGCTGGGACTTTTTCGAATTTCGCGAAACGCGCAAATCGGCGAGGCGACATTTTTATTGCGTCCAATTTTCGCGCGCGGAAGCTCCGGCGCCGAGCCCGACTGCGAAATTCTTTTCGGAATTCACAAGTCATCGACCGATAATGCGACGCACGGCAGTCGGGAAAAATAAACGCCGCGCGCCCTTTTCTTATTTAACGCTTTTTGACAGATGCAGCGTAACGCGCGCCGACATTTGAGTTTCGAGCGAGCAGAAGAGGGACGGGTTTGATGCTACATTTGCATCGTCGCGACAGCTTTTCAAATCCTCTTTAAACATTCGATTATTCAATGCTGGTGCACGCAACTTCCAGCTTCGAAACACGTGCAATTTTTGGAGGATTCACAACGATAGCGAAAGAGAGAGAGAAAGCGAATGAATAATGCCTTGACATTTCTTATAAGAAATAAGGTCAATCTCCTGCCGATGAGGTTGAGCGAAAACGGGAAGAAAGTCAATCGACGTTCAGTATTTGCGCTGGAAAATTTACCTTTAATTTACTTCTCTCTCGGCTGCTTTCCTCTCGCTCTCGTCAGTCCGACAGATTGAAGTATAAATCATACTCTCCAGTTTCATTTCGCTCTCGCGGAATCGAATAGAATGAAAGAGAGTTGTCAAGCGGCTCTGTGCGAGGCAAAGAAAAGGCGAGTGGCGGCACGAGGAAAGGGAAGTGAAAGAGGAGCTTTGATCAGGACTCGATCGCGCGGACCAAATAACCGGCAACGCGAGCACTCACCACATCGATGATCTGCTGTAGGGTGATGCCGAACTTGACCTGCAGGGGTTCGCTCTCGTTCTCCACAGGCCGCTCGAGCGTGTTGTAGTTGGACAGCAGCTTGTTTAGCAGCGCCCTCTCGTACGCCCCTCCGTGCGCGTCTGCAACAAGCCAAACACAGCCATCAGAGCCGAGCAGCAGTAGCAGCAGCAGCAGCAGCAGCGAGGTGCGTTCCCAGGGCCGCGGAAGCTGGGATCTGGCGAGGGCCGCTGCTGGTCGAGAGTCTCGTGAGTACGCGGACTGAATGTTTCACGAGGCGCCGATTGCCGCCGGCGCTTCGTTAAATTAGCGTCGCGCCCGCCGCTCCGAAGAGCGCCGAGCGCTCGTTTTCCCGGGCCGCCGGACTCCCGCGGCCCGGATGTCGACTCTGTCGTCGATTAGCGGCTGCGCGAATGGACTTGCCTGCGCCACTCCACTGTCGTTCATCGATCCGAGGCGCCGCTTCCAATCCAGAGGACGATTCCAGCGAGCGGCGCCGAGCCAATACGAGATCGGCGTCCGGTCGAGCCACGCGATGAGAATCGGCGCTCGCGACCCTCCCGGACGACTTTCTCGCACCCTCGGGGCGACGGGGACGAAATTGCGTTTGCCCTGCGCGCAGCGCTCTGTCGGGAGCAGCAGCGAGTCAGCTCGGCGGCTCCGTCTCCGCGCGCGCGCGCGCGATTCGACACTTTCGCGCGCACTCTCCGGCGCGAGCGACCCACATACGACTCGTGCCAATTTCCATCGTGTAATCGAATTATTATCGCATCCCTCTCCGCCTTCGCGAGCAGCTTTCTCGCCAGCTCGTAATATTGTTATCGCATGATAAGTAGCGCCTGCCAAGCGACGAAAAAACCATCGATTTAATTGAAGCGAGGTGGATGTTGATTAAAAGGAAGCATCGTTACGTGAAATTTTCAAGGAGAGAGAGAGAGAGAGAGAGAGAGAGAGAGAGAGAGAGAGAGACGTTGGCGCACGGAAGCGTTGCACGCCGACGACGACGAAGAGGGAAAATCGATAAAGGAGCGCGTGCACGCCGCTTCCGCGTCTTTGTTGTGCCCGCGTGACAAAGTCTCCAGCAAATCCGTTACACCGCGACCTACTTTACAGCCGCCCGAACTTATCCCTTATCTGCGCCGCGAGCGCCCCTCCGCTTTTTCCGCGCGGGCCGGAAATCGAATCGGCCTATCAGTCGTCGTTCCCATCTTCTCCGCGCGACTCGCGCCGTCGAACGCGCTTTAATGAATGCCGGTGGCGGCGTTCGCTCCGCGGTCGTCGGCCCGGCCGCCCAGCCCCTCCCCCTTTTCTCTCCGACGGCGCGCGTATTTACGCAGTCCGCCGGGCCGATCGTCGTTCCCGCCACCCACTGCCGAACGCCTTAGCCACTCGGCCGCGGTTCAGTGCCGCCGAACTTCTCGACCGCCGCGCCGAGACAATCGCGACAAATTGCATTTTCACCACCTACCTGCCGGGCCTCGTGGCTTTTCAAGCGAGCTCCTCGAGTCGAGAACAATTGCCACTGGCGCGCGCGCGCAGAGCCTGGTCGCGCTTTGGGTTAGAGTGCGCCGCCCACGCCCGTCGCGTTCATTTCCGCGCCGATCGTCCTCGCCGCTTCGCGTTCGACTCGACGAGGCTTCGGACGAAAAATCATTCTCTCGTCTCGCCTTTCAAACTTTTCTCTTTTTCACGCTTGCTCGCGAACAAAGAGCGCGCGGAGTTTGGACGGGCCGTCGCGTCGAATTCCCTCGCGAAGTGCTTGGAATCTGTCCTCGATTCTGTGGCTTCTTCATTGCGGTCGGCTTATCATTGACCGATGGAGTTCAAGACGCATGGTACGGTCGAATCGTCGCACGGCGAACGTTTCCGCGGCAGGGGCTGTACGCGCGTCGAGCGATGAAGGAGGGGACGAACGGCAGTAAAGTTGCCCGTCGAACGCCACGCAAAAGCAGCGTCGTCAGGGGAGGGGGGGTCAAAAACAAACAAACAAATAAAAAGGGCGGAGACGCGCGCATCGCGGGCTTCCTTTCGCGCCGAGAGAGACTCTTTGGGCGACTCGCTCTGCGGCGGAGCAGTCGACCCGTGAGATATTGCTCGCTCGCTCGCGCCGCCCAATTTGCATTCGCGCAAAACAGCGCGCGCCGTTCTCCTTCCGGCTTCTGTTGGAAGTCGCCGCCGCCGTATGTAAAACCGCGGGGACCAACAGCTCGTAAATTTCCAGTCGACGATCAAATTAAAGTCTCGTGGCGCGGGATCGATAAACTTTCGCCGCGCATTCGCCTGATTTACGCCGAATTCGGGGGGGGGCTATTAGCAAATTGAAATTTATTATTTGCTCGGGCTGATGGAACAAAGCCGCCGATCGCGGCAACGCATTATGCAGTGGCTCCCCCCATCCAGGCTTGTTATGTGCATCCGCTCCGGCAATATGCACAGGGCAACATATAAGTTTGTCGAAGCAATTAACTCGTCGCGATAATTGCGCTCTTCTATCTCTTTCTCTACGTCGTTTTTCTGTTTTTTCTTTGGTTCGATGGGAAAGGAATTCGCTGTCGATAGGTATAACACGCGCGAGGGGAGGGGGGCATCGAATGTGCTTCAGCAAACGCTTTGTTTTACGGATGAAAGCTGCGCGACACGGCGAGTTTCGATCCTCTCTCTCTCTTCCAAACTGCGTTATTGTTCGGTCGTTTATCGTGGATTCAAGGGGCTATACGGCCGAAAACCCGACAACTAGATGTCGAAGATTTTTCTGCTGTTTTTCTTTTGGCTCGGCTATGGTATTGACACGCAATTACGAGACTCTGTCTTTACATTCGCCCCGCAAAGATTCGATCGGTCGCTCGCAAATGCAATTTCCCAATTGTAACCGCCGTCGTTTTCTGCTTAGTTGTCATTAACGAGTGTCTGCAGTCAGAAATACGCCACAACCGGTTATTTATTTGCTTTTTTTTTCTGTTTCAGCAGCGACGTTCGTGGAAAATTGGATCTCATCCGAGTAAGCTGGCGGGAAGGGGGATGTGCTGTGCAGAGAGAGAAAAAAAAACAGCAAGTGTAATTTCGTTGTCGCTAAATTGAGGAAAATTGAAAGCAACCAATCGAATTTCCCTGATGTTCGCGAGGCGAGTCGACCGTTAAAGCGCGCGATTAAATCGAAATTCGAAGCGATAATTGTGGAGGGGGGTCGCGCTGTCGTGAAATCGAAAATAAAGAGAGCGAGAGAGAAAACCCGTGCGCCCGAAAAGCGAGAGGAAAAAGGGGGCCGATGCGCGGCGACAAAAGGCTCTTTCGATCCCTTGCGAGCGCTTGAGCATGAATACACTCGAAAGCTAACAACTGTCCCGGCGCGTTTTTGCGAAAGCGAGAGAGGGAGGCCGACAAGCCCTCATCCGCGTCCGGCAAACAAAATCGCTTTTGGCCCGCGCGCCCGCGGGCATTAACTCTATATTTTAATAGCCAACATCTGCCTGGCGTCCGGCATTTGCATATGCAAATCAATCCGCGGTACAAGCGAGCGCGCTCGGTCCGGCCGCGGACTCCTTAACGCCACCTCTCCCTCGCGTCCCCGAGTTTCTAATGAACGTCGCGCGGGAATCCGTCCCCGAGCCCGCCGGCCCCGACGGGCGCACGCGGGCGGGGCTCGCCGCACGGCCGTCGAGAGTGGCTCCCGTCGTCGGGGCTCGTCGCGTTTCGATCACCGAAAATCCGCGATCGCGAACGCTCGATACGACCGTGAGCCGAGGGAGGCGTCGATCGCTCGTCGGGAGCCGTTATCGGCGCATTAGGCGAGCACGGCGCACCCACCGACCGTGAGATAAGACTCCCGATATCTGGCGGGACGTTGATTCTCGCCCCCTCCGCCGCTGACGCGCCACGAGACCAGCAGCCAGTTGCCCGCGGCGAAATCGATAACCTATAGGCTGTTCGTCCGCCATGCGTGCGCGGCCCCATTATTAGGCCGCTGAAATTGTTTTCCCCGAGCGTCGACCGACAGACTCATAAAGGGAAGAGCTGGACACAGAGAGAGAGAGAGAGATATTTCGCTTCGCTGTTCGCCGACGTTTGACGAGCGCCGGAGGGTTAATTCTTTCCGATCGCGTTGGCTCGGCTTTCGCGTCCCTTTGCGTGTGCGTTTTCGCTCGGCGTCGGACGGGTGCAAAATTTTGAGAAGAGATACAGAGAGCGGCGCGATCCGCGCTTTTGAAACGCAAAAAGCGCAGCACGCGAGGCAAAATCGACGAGGGGGGGATTCGATGTTCAACGCTCGATTGCCCGTATTCTTGCGTGGCGCTAAGTCACTTCTGCATGTAGGGGGGGGGGGGGGGGGCTTTTCATTCCCCTCGTCCCGAAATCGGGCCGACGTCGGCTTCTCCCGGCGCAGCCGCGAGTCCCGACGATCTCTCCGGCCCGAAAGAAGTTCCCCAATTCGGAGCGTTTAGCGGGCGGAAAGAGATATCGATCGGGACACGAAATGCCGTCGGGGCGAGCTTGGCGAGAGAATGGAGGCGGCAGTCAATAGTTTATAATTTGGCTGTACAACGTGCGGCGCCCACCGCGCGGGTAGCTCGTTCTCTCGATATTCGCGCGCGACTAGAGGCCGAGCGAAGAGAGTAATCGAACCCGACCGACCAAAACAAAAAAAGAAAAGAAAAGAACCCCGAATGAAAAGTCTTTTTCCTGCGGTAGTGCGAGAGAACGACCGGATAGACGGGGCTCTCGAAAACCCAGCGAAAAGAGAGGAGGTAGAGAGGAAAAACGAGAGCAGAGCGTAATGAAAACGAGCAAGTTTCCAACTTTCTTCCGCGGTTTCTTTCGTATCCGTTGGGATTTACATGTGCGGTCGGCCACGAAAACGAAATCAAGCGTAATTACCACACTGTCATCGCCAGAGAGAGAGAGAGAGAGAGAGAGAGAGAGAGAGAGAGAGAGAGAGAGAGAGAGAGAGAGAGAGAGAGAAGCCAATTAAATTGTCGTCCCGAAACTGCCAGGTGCGCGCTCGGGCCGACTTTTCCTTCGCTAATTGATTTTATCGACCGCTCGGCCGACAGACAGACGGCGTGGGCTCGGTCTTTTTCGTGCCGCCACCGCCGTCGCCGGTAAACAACGATCGGGGTCTCGCTCG